TAAATCCTAGCACTCTGGGAGGCTGAGGCGGGTGGATTGCTTGAGGTCAGGAGTTCGAAACCAGCCTGAGCAAGTGCGAGACCCCGTCTCTACTATAAATAGAAAGAAATTAATTGGCCAACTAATATATATAGAAAAAATTATCTGGGCATGGTGGCGCATGCCTGTAGTCCCAGCTACTCGGGAGGCTGAGGCAGAAGGATCACTCCAGCTCAGGAGTTTGAGGTTGCTGTGAGCTAGGCAACAGAGTGAGACTCTGTCTCAAAAAAAAAGAAACTTCTGTTCTGCAGGAGTTAAGTAGCAGTAACTGGCAAGGGCTCTAGCTTACAACTCTATCTGCCATCTGGGATGGATCTCTGAAGTTACATATTGTTTTATTGAAATTTAATTCACGTAACACAAAATAGACTCTTCTAAAATGTACAGTTCCGTGGTTTTTAGTATAAACACAAAGTCATACAACCATTACCACTATCTAATTTCAAACCATCTTCTCTTCATCACCCTGAAAAGAAATCCTGTACCCACGACCAGTTACTCCTCATGCTACCCTCATCCCAGACCAGTCACTCCTCATGCTACCGTTCCCAGACAGTCACTCCTCATGCTACCCTCATCAGACCCTGGCAACCACAGCTCCTTCAGGTTCTATAAATTTGATTGTTTTTTGACATTTCATATAACCGGAATAATGCGCTCTGTGGGCTTTGTGACCGGCTTATTTCACTTAGCGTGATGTTTCTCAGGTCTACCCATGTTGCAGCAAAGGCCAATATTCCATTCCTTTTTGTGGCTGAATAATATCCCATGTATGGACACGCTACTTCATTTCTCCATTCGCCAGCTGATGGGTGTGTGGGTTGTTTCCACTTTTTGGTTGTTTTGAATAATGCTGTTATGAACTTGCATGTATAAGTTTTTGTATAAACATATATTTTCAATTCTTTTGGGTTTATATCTAGGAGCAGAATTGCTGGGTCATACATTTAACTTTTTGAGGAACGACAAGACTGTTTTCCACAGTGGCTGCACCATTTTATGTTCTCCATTAGTAATATATGAGGTTTCAATTTCTCCACATCCTCATTGACACTTGTATCTGTCTTTTTGATTAGACTCACCCTAGTGGGTATGTGAAGTGGTATCTTGTGTAGTTTTAATTTCCATTTTCCTGGTGGCTAATAATGTTGATTATCTCTTTGTATGGTTATGGGCTATTTCATATCTTCTTCAGAGAAATGTCTCTTCGAATCCTTTGCCCATCTTTTAATTGGGCTGTCTTTTTGTTGTTGAGTTATAAGAGTTCCTTTTTTTTTTTTTTTTGAGACAGAGTCTCACTCTGTTGCCCAGGCTAGAGTGAGTGCTGTGGCCTTAACCTAGCTCACAGCAACCTCAAACTCCTAGGCTTAAGCAATCCTCCTACCTCAGCCTCCCGAGTAGCTGGGACTACAGGCATGTACCACCATGCCCGGCTAATTTTTCGTATATTTTTAGTTGGCCAATTAATTTCTTTCTATTTTTAGTAGAGATGGGGGTCTCACTCTTCCTCAGGCTGGTCTCCAACTCCTGAGTGCAAGTGATCCACTCACCTCGGCCTCCCAGAGTGCTAGGATTACAGGGGTGAGCCACCGCGCCTGGCCGAGTTATAAGAGTTCTTTATTTTTCCAGATATTAGACTGTAATCACACATGTGATTTGCAAATATTTCCTCCCATTCTGTGGGTTGCCTTTTCAATTTTTTTGATAGTATCCTTTGAAGTACAGAAATTTTTAATTTTGAGGATGTTCAATTTATCTATTTTTTTCTTTTGGTTGCTTGGGCTTTACGGTGTTGTGGCTGAGAAATCATTTCCTAAAGTGACAAGAGCAGACTGCTGTGCCTTGTTCCTGATTTTAGGGAGACCTTTAAGTATGATATCAACTGTGGGTTTTTCAGATTTTTTTTTTTTTACCAGATTGAGGAAGCTCCCTTTTACTCCTAGTTTGTTGGGTGTTTTATAATGAAGGGGAATTGGATAGCATCAAATGTTTTTTCTGTGACAACTGACTTGATCATAAGTGTTTTTTCCCCCTTCTGAACAGTTTTAAAGAAGGGCCTCTGCCAATGGGCTCTAGTCCCAACCTGGGTCCCAACAGAGCTGGTTGGGGAGCCGTGTGACTCTTCTTTTTTGTTTGCTTGTTTGCCAGTCTGCCTGGAACACCATTATTAAAATCATTTATTCGTAAGCAGGTAATATTTGCACAGGATAAAAAAGAATCATTTAGCAAAAATCAAAGGTGACAGACTTCTCTGGCTTCCTCCCCTCAGGCAAGCACGTGGCATTTCCTTACCAGTTACCTGTGGCTGCTTTCCTGCCACCAGGGCGGAGGTGAATAATTGCCACAGAGACCTTAGGTCCTACAAACCCTAAAATACTTTCTACATGGCCTTTTACAAAAAAAAAGTTTTCTGATTCCTTTTTTAGTCTTTCACCATTTCAAACGATGCCGCTATGATGTCTTTGTACACACGTCATTTTGCACATCCGAGTTTCTGCAGAACGAATGCCTGCAAGGGGAATGCTAGGTCTCATGGTGTCAGCATGTGCCATTTCCACAGGTATTACCAAATAGCCCTCTAGCGAAGCTGAACCAGTGTACACTCTCTTCCACAAAGCGTGCTCCAACCTGCTGCCCGCAGCCTCCACTAGCTGGCAGCATCTTCATACTTGTCCACCTGAGAAGCGAAACATGGTACCCGCTGGAGTTTTAACTTGCACTTCTGATTATGGATGAAGTTTATCATCTTCGCTGAAATCTAAAGTCATTTCTTTTTAACTCCTCCTGAGCCCCTCCCTGCCGATCGACTCAGGACCCGGGCCCGCCGCTGGCTGGGCGCGGGTGCGGGCGCAGGGGAGCGCGGCGCCCCTGCGCTCCTCTCGCCGGGACCCTCCGGCCGCGGAGCCCGCCCGAGTCCGCCCCATCTCTCTTTCCCGGGAGTTCGGGCACTGATGGAGGCTCGCGCGCTGGGGACCCTGGGGGCCAGCCCTGCTGTCCCCGGGGATGTGGCTTGCACGTAACAAAGGACTCCGCTGTGCCGGACCTCTCTTTTCCCGTCTGTGAAATGAAGCCGCGGAGCCGTGCCTGGCTTTGGAGCCCCTTCCGCCAGGAGGATTCCAGGACTCCCGAGTCGAGGAGTCTCCAGCCGACTTTCGCCAGCAGCTCCCCTCCCGAGCCCGGCGGCTGGACAGTTCAGTGGGTCTTTGCGACCCTCCTGTGTGCGCCGGGTCGGGTCAGGGAAGGGCTGGGAGTGGTGGGCTGGACGCGGGCTCCAGGTGGGCCGGGAGCGGCGCAGCGGCCGGGGAGGGCCCGGGACGGGGGCTGCCTCCCGGTGGGGCGTTTCCCGACTCCCTCCCTCCCGCGGCCTTGGCGGGCTGTGTCTCCGCGTCCTCCCCCGCCGCCGCCGGCCATGGGATGGGCATGCCCCGCACCCAGGCGCTACGGGACTGGCTGAAGCCAGGAGGTCGCAGCTGGGCTCCAGCACCCGCGTGCTGGAGGGGACGCCCCTCCAGGGCTGGAGCTGAGGCGGTGAGGGCACTCCGGGCTCCCAGCACATGGGAGCACCTGATCCTCCCCAGCCCCCCTGAAAGATGGCTGGGTCTTCCCGGTCCTTTCTACTCCTCCTGTCTGTCCCCTCAACCTGAGCCCTGGCCAAATGTCCCTGGGGAGGTCTCCCAAAAAGTAGGACCGTCAAGTCGCAGAGGTGGTTTTGTAGAGGGTGATCTGAGTTTTTCTGGAAGGGAGAAGCACAGGGGCTGCCTTGCACAGGGGGCCGGCCCCTCCAGCCTAAGGCCTGGCCAGGTGGGGGACACCTCCCACTGACCCTGTTCCCCACCGGCCCATTTTGCCCTGGGGTAGCCCGGGGGTCCTGTGGTTGGGAGGGGAGGAAGTGTCCATTCCCAAGCCTGCCAGCCAGTGCCAGCCTGCCAGGTCAGAGGAGGAGATTAACCTGCTATTTAAAGCCAATGACTAATAGCCTGTTGGGAGCTGCCTTAAGCCCCGAGGCCCTGCTGAGGTGCAGCTCCGAGGGCTCATTAATGGTGTTGCCTTCCCCGAAGCTGGGTGGGCTCCCGGGGGGGTGGCTTTGGGATTTCAGGAGGAGAGGAAAAAGGATTTCTCATGTCTTATTCCAAATGACGGATTTTGGTCTGGGGCAGCCCTCTGGGGTGCTAAGGTCAGCTAGAGGACCCTCCCAGTGGGCTGCAGTTCACTGGTTGCCACAAGAGTCAAGGGACCGAGGGCAGGCTGGGGCCGGGGGGACTTCTGAGGGAGTGGGCCAGGAACCAGCCTTCAAGGAACTCCTCCCTTATGGGCATGGGACGCGGGCAGGACTGGAGGGCCACTTGGCTGCCTGACATGCAGTCTGACCCCAGCCCACACCTCCTCCTCCTGTGTCCTCCTTGGGGGCTGATAGTGCACACCTGTCACTCAGCCCCCATCCACCAGCCCTGGTGGCCTCTCCAGCCCTCCTCCCCACCTCCTCCTCCTTGGCCCTTTGCCCTGCCCTCCCCCTTTGCGCTGGTGGGGGGATGTCCACCCTGTAGCTCCCAGGCCCCGCCAGGGGGGAGCCAGTCTGCGCCTGGGCCTTTCAGCCTTCTCCTTCTCAGACTGGAACTGGCTTCCCCGCTCCCACCTCGCACTTGACACTCTGTGTTTCTTGTTTTTCTCTTTTCCCCCTGCTGGACAATGGTGAGGAGGCTGCCACAAGATTAAGAGCCACTGGTCTGCAGGATGAAAAAATCTAAACTTGTCCTTCTTAGGGTCCCTCGCAGTCTGGCCCGACCCTCCTTCCAGCCACGTCTCACAGTTCTCCAACATACCATGCACTCTGTTTCTTCTGCTTTTCTTGGAATGTTCTTTCCCCATTCCCCAGCCTGGCGCCTTCCCACTCTGTCTTTTAGACCCAGCTCAAATGTCCCCTCCTCTGCAAAACCTCCCTCTCCCTGGCAGAAATCGCACCTGCAGCGGCCCCCTGTGCAGGCTTCCTCGTCCTCTGTGGGCTTGCCCGCCTCTTTCCCGTGGGCCTCCTGAGGCCTGGGCCACACCGACGTCTGTCTCAGGGACTCAGCACATCCGTGGTCATTGGCCCCCGCAAACGTTCACTGAGTGGTGGACGTGCCGTTTCTGAGTCAGGGCTGACGTTGCAGGTGACTTCTGCGACTCCAGCCAGTGCCTGAACGGTGGAACCTGCCTGGTGGGCCATGACAATGCTTCCTTCCACTGCCTCTGCCTCGAAGGCTTCACGGGCCTCATTTGCAACGAGACTGAGAAGAAACCCACTCCGAGTGCTGCCTACCCTGCCTACCTCTCCACACCCCACGCTTCCAGCCCGTCCCAAAGTGGGCAGTGGTCCCCCGTTGTCACCTCTCCCGTTGTCAGCCAGCATTTCCCTGGATACCCCCAGGGCATTTGGAAAGCTGGGCACTTCCTTTATTTGGGCTGATTTTCCTATATGTCACCCTCCTTGGTGCCAGGCTGGCCCAGGCTCCATCAGGCAGGCTGGGGGAGGGGGAGAGGGAGGAGACGGTGGGCTGAGTTTGGACCAAGGGTCCTTTTGGGCGAGGCCCATCTGCTACTTTCTGTCTCTGTCCCCAGCTCCTTCTTGATCACCTGCCTCTCTGTCCACAGATCCCTGTTCCCCAAACCCGTGCCACAACAATGGCGAATGCCAGGCGAGTCCCACGGAACAGCGAGGGGACGTCTTCACCCCCTACACCTGCATATGTGCTCTGGGCTACGTGGGCACCCACTGTGACACCAGTGAGTATCTGGGGGTGCCTGCTCCTGGGGACAGACCCTGGGCCACAGCCCTGGTGGCACAGGCCATGTGTGGGCCTTATTCCTTGTGTCAAGGCCACCTCCGAGAAGCTCGAGGGAGGAACAGAGCCTCAGTGAGGCGAGTAGGGGGAAAGGGTCCTGCTGTCCCTCTGCAGGCTGCTTTCCATCTGGTCCTCTCTCCTGGGACTGCAGGCCAGGCCTGATGTCACTGCAGGGGCATGAGGAGTTGTGGTCACCCCAGAGGTCCTGGGAGTGCTGTTTCCTGAGTCACCATGAGCCAGACACACAGCATTAGGGTAGTCTGGGATTTTTTTTTTTTTAACCTAAGAGGGGAAAACAAATGCATTCATAATCTTTTGGGGCCCAGGAACTTAGTAAATCAGGCATGGCCTCAGGGTCTGACAGTTCCTGGCCCAAGTTTGACCTGTGGCCTTATCACAGAGCTCAGCAAAGAGGGGAGGCCTGGGCAGGCTGGGCTGTGCCCTCGTGGTGCGGTGGTCAGAGGCCCTGTGTGTGCAGAGCGGCTGTCCCTGCTTGACCTGCTTGGTTGTCCACTCGGCCGCAGAGTGGCCCTGGGTGGGGTGCCCCATCGACATTGCCCACAGTGGCCCTCCACACTCTCCTCCCTCCTGGCCCAGGTGGAGTGCCTCCCACCCTGTGCTCCCAATCACACGGGGACTCTTCCTCACCTGCGGTAGCTGGCTGGGCCACAGTAGGCCCGGGATGGGTGGAGTGGGGTGGGGGGCACAGGTCTGCAGCCCAGCAGGCTGGCGGCTGGGCATCTTGGGCAGGGCCCTCCCTTGGGTGACGTGGGTGCAGGCTCTGAGTTTGTTGACCCACGGGAGGAGGAGGGAGGGCCGGGCCAGCTGGGTGGCAGTGGGGCCCTGGGGGAGGGCAAAGTGCCCGGGATGCCCTTTACGCCAGAGGGGGCAGTGCCCTTGGTCCCTGGGCCGAGGCCAAATGTGTTTGAGATCCTGGAGGGAGGATGGGGGCGAGGGGGTTGCTAAGGAGACAGAGCCGGGGTGGGGCCAGGTGCGCCCACTAATTACCGTGCTGGCGCTGAGGGAGCCGTGGGCGCCTGAGCTGGAGCTACCCACCGAGCCTTCTAGCTGCCTGGCCTGGGGTCTGCCCTGGGCTTGGGTAAGGCAGCCCCTGGGGAAGAGGCAGGGGCCACACGAAGGCACAAGAAGGCCCACAGAGGGACCTTCGCAGCCCTGCCTTGTCTGTTACGTGGGGTGTCTTTGGAGCCAGTGAGGGCGCTGCAGGCACAAGGAATGCACCTTGGGGTTGCTGAGGGTGTGACCGCGGTGGGGTGTGAGGAGTCTCGGAGGCAGACTCTCTGCTCGGCCGCTGGCCGCTCTGAGCCTGGGCGTCTGGCCTCACTTGGCACCTTCCCTTCCCTACCGAGCGTGACAGCACCGAGCTCAGCCTGAGCCTGGGCGTGGAGGAAGAGCAGAGCTGCCCCGGGTTCTCTGCTTGGCAGCGGAAGGCCCAGGCACATACCAGGGGGATCCCTGAAGGATGAGCGAGGCTCAGCCCGTGGGTGGGCCTGGTGGCCATGCTGAGTCCCAGGACCGCACTGCTGGGACACCAGGGAGGGGGACAGGGCGTTGGCCGGGGTGTGGTCACAGGTGGCTGGGAGAGGGCCCGCAGGTGGATGCCGCAGAGAGTACGAGGGAAAACAGAGTGGCATTTGTGTCCCACCTGGAGAATGCCTGCCAGTGGGATTCTAGAACACTCCAGGCGGATTTGCTCACTGCTTTCTGTGCAGGGCAAGTACTGTTCGCTGCTGCTCAAGGAACCCTTTCTCCCAAAGCCACCCTCCTGGGGAAGCCAGGGGCTGGGCTGAGGACAGTGACCACTCTCCCTGGTGGGGTGGGGACACTGAGGAAGAGGAGGTCCCACCCCCACCACAGCATAACTGCTGCTCAGTGTCCTGTGAGAACAAGACCACCAACCTCGCCTGCCGGGGACTCCATCCCCAAGGGTACCATCGTGGCCAGGGTCCTCCTGCAGCCCTGGGTCCCAGCCTCCCATGACTCTGCCCCATCTCCTCTTCCTCACCACACCTCACCATGCACCTTTGCTCGGGACCTCCTCTTGGGCTCTGCCGTCATTGTCCCTTTGTGGTCTCTGCTCTGGTGAGCTTCTGAGCTTTTCTCTGGGTCTTGGTCCTTGGCAGAGGCCACATGGTCTTATTCTCTTGTCCCCTGGGTCCCAGGTGGGCCCTGGAACCGGCCTGGGTGGCCCCCTGACTGCCATCTCCCTCCCGTCAGAATGCTCCGTTCCCCTGGGCATGGAGTCGGGGGGCATCGGCAACTGGCAGGTGTCCGCCTCGTCCGTGTACGTGGGCTTCATGGGGCTGCAGCGCTGGGGCCCGGAGCTCGCCCGCCTGCACCGCACGGGCATCGTCAACGCCTGGACAGCCAGCAACTACGACAGGCACCCCTGGATCCAGGTAGGGACAGGGCCGGCCTGGGGCGAGCGGTGGGAGAGGAGAAGGTGAGATGAATGTGCCTGCACTTGGGGCCACCACGGGAGGCTTCCCACCTGGGCTTCAGGCAGCAAGGGAGCAGGTTCCCACGGGTGGAGTGTCTGTCACTGGAGGGCAGACTCGGGGGCCTGGAGGGGGCGGGCGGGATGGGGGGAGCAGGCCCAGGCCGTGGAGGTGCTGTTTGCACCAGATGAGGCCCCTGGGGGCCTGGCCCTCCTGGTGTGCCCAGGAGCACTGGGTCGGGAGCCTGAGGGTGCCTGAGGAGGAAGCCCGTGTTCTGGCAACGTGCGCAGCGGCACCTGCTCTGTTCTGCTTGGGCAGCCCCCCCCTCGCCCCCCCCACCCCAGGTGTGGGGGGCAAGGGAGCAGACGGGCCTGCATCTGGGTGGAAGGAACCCAGGTGACGAGGTGCCGTCTCCCCGGCCCGGGTCTAGGTGAACCTGCTGCGGAAGACCTGGGTGTCGGGCGTGGTGACGCAGGGCGCCAGCCGCGTGGGTGCTCATGAGTACCTGAAGGCCTTCAAGGTGGCCCACAGCCTCGACGGACACACGTTCACGTTCATCCAGGACACCGAGAAGTTAGGAGACAAGGTAGGGCTTGTTGGGGCCCTGAAGAAGGGCTGTGGTCAGCGCCCCTAGGGTTTTAGCCCTGCAGACCCCCAACAAGGTAAGGGTACCTGGGTGATTGGCCATGAGGTGGGTCTTCAGGTGCATCTTGGTTTCCAGAAATTGGGAAATCCAGATTGTTCCCGTGTTTTGTGGTTATAAGTAATCGTCCCACTTTATAGATGAGAACAGCGAGACTCAAAATGGCGCAATGAGCTGTTGAGGGTGGCAGTGGTGGTGCAGCTGGGTTTCATTCTGAGCCTTCAGGGCCACCAAGTACAGTTGTGCGGGTTGTACACTGTTCTAGGGTGCCGTTACTAAGTGGGTGCCACTCACAGCACAGACTTTGTACATTTGTGGACTTCTGTCAGAAAATTGTCATAGTAAGATATTTCGAGAAAGGAGTGCCCTGTCCTAGTTTGCACAGAGGTACCTGACGGTTATAGGTGACCCTGTGTGAATGGCAGGGGCTCATGTCCAGGCCCCGAGATGACGAAGGGAGGCGTGAGACGGAGAATCTGTTGAGGGCGGGCTGTGGGGTGGCCACAGGGAGGGCTGCTATTCCTGCTGAGTCCCCTCACCCCCCAGCCCACCTCTGCCCCCAGGTCTGCAGAGGAGGATGAGGCGACCCCAGGGAGGCGTCTGCCCACGTGGACCCACGCGTCCCATCTTGCCCCTTCCCTTCTAGGTGTTTGAGGGCAACGTGGACAGCCACAGCCTGAAACTGAACCTGTTTGAGGCCCCGGTGGAGGCGCAGTACGTGCGGCTGTTCCCCGTGCTCTGCCAGCGGGCCTGCACCCTGCGCTTCGAGCTCCTCGGCTGCGAGTCGAATGGTGAGCGCCGGGACCGTTCCCGGAGATGCCCTTCCCTGCCCGCTCTTCTCTCAGCCACGCTGAGCCCCGTGGGGCAGCGGCGAGGCCCGAACCTGGGCTCAGGCAGGAAGCTCACGCCGGAGGGTCATCTGGCCGTCGTGGTCCTGCCCAGATACATGTCTGCCGGCTGCCGACCCACGCGCCCGGGCGCTCTGGTTGGTGGAGGAAAAGACAGCGCTTCCGTTTTCAGAGTGTGTTCACTTGTCCTGGTTGGTTCCTGTAGCTTCTAGAACCTGTGTCATTGGTTCTGTTTTGCAGATGTCAGCTTCGTGAGGGGCGAAGACTTTGTTTTGATTCGATTTCCAGGGCCTAGAGCAGTGTCCGCTTCATAGGTGCTGAGGCAATGCTTGATGAATGAGTGAGTGAGTGAACGGAGTGAGACCCAGAGAGATTGTTTATTAAGGGTGCACAGCTGGTAGGTATTAAATCTTGGTCCGGATCTCAGGGCTTCTGACCCCACCCATCCAGCGCTTTCCCTGCCGACGGTCCTGCACTCTGCACTCAGAAACGTGGGGCCTGTGGGACCACGGGGCTTGGAGCTGGGGCTTGCTGCTGCCCTTTGCAAAGAGATTCCCTGGCCCTCAGGGTGGCTCACACCTGTAATCCCAGTACTTTGGGAAGTTGAGGCAGGAGGATCAAGGGGGAAGGATCCTTTGAGACCAGGAGTTCAAGGCCAAAGAGATTCCCAGATGGAGAGATAGGGGGATCAGAAAGGGATAGGTTTTCTGCTGAGCCAGGAAAACCACACCCTTGGAGACGTGAGTTTTTCCTGGCCCCAGGGTGCAGGTTTGGGCTGACTGATGGCTCAGCCCAGCTCAGCCCAGCTCGCTCTCCTTGGCGGGCTGGTTCCCGCTCTGTGCAGCCACAGTGCCACCTCCTGGCCACACGAGGAACTGTAGGGCTCGCTGGGCAAAGCGCGCAGCACTGAGAGGTAGGTGCCGCCTTTCTTGGCTTACCCTAGACCTGCCCCCTCCTGAGCCCCTATTCTCTTCTGTTACACCTGTTCCTGTTATACCTCTTTGGACACCACCCAGTAGCCCTTAGAGCTGAGTTCTGTGCCTGGCTGCATTTAGTGGTTTTTTTGGTTTTTTTTTGAGACAGAGTCTCACTCTGTTGCCCAGGCTAGAGTGAGTGCCGTGGCGTCAGCCTAGCTCACAGCAACCTCAAACTCCTGGGCTCAAGCAATCCTGCTGCCTCAGCCTCCCCAGTAGCTGGGACTACAGGTGTGAACCACCACGCCTGGCTAATTTTTTGTTTCTATTTTTAGTTGACTGGCTACATTCTTTTCTATTTTTATTAGAGATGGGGGTCTCGCTCTTGCTCAGGCTGGTCTCGAACTCCTGAGCTCAAGCAATCCGCCCACCTTGGCCTCCCAAAGTGCTAGGATTACAGGCGTGACCCACTGCGCCTGACAAGACCCCCAGGTGATCTGTGAGAAGTACTCCCCTAGTAGCTTGTTTTACAGACAGGGAGACGTAGGCGGGGAGAGGGGAAGGGGCTTTCTGGAGTGCTGGAGCTGAGAGCCCTGGCCCTTGCCCGGGGCCCCTCCCGGCTGCACTTGACCTGTCTGACTTCCTGGGGAGGCGGAGAATGAGGGTGCAGGAACGGCTGGCGGAGCTGTCTGTAGATGGCCTGCCAAATTGGTGTCCTCCACAAAGCTGCCCCAGGCTTCAGCCTGCTCAGGCCTCCCCTGTCCTGGAGCCAGGGGACAACCAGCTACCAGCTACCAGGGGCTGCTGTCAGTGGGAGGAGGGTGGGTTCCCTGGCCAGCCACCATCAGCACAGCCCGGAGGCAAATGTCTTGAGTGGCGCGGGTGTCTGGAGGCCAGTGCTGTGAAGCGCCATTTGACAGCCCACTCTGCGTGGCTGTCCAGGCCCCCTGCCCCCACCCGCAACTCCCTGCAGAAACAGACAGTTGGGGGGCGGGGATTCTGCCAGGTGGAAGACACACCCATCCTTTTGGGAGTTTTGTCTCCCGCCCATCCCCAGCTGTTCTGGCCACATGCAGGGGCAGATACTCGTGCAGAACAGGCCAGCACATTCCTGTTTGGGGCAGGCCAGTCCCCATAGGCCTGTGTGACAGCCCCCTGGAAACATTCTTGATATACAGAGGCCCCCTGGGGCACACTAAACGGGGGTGTCTGTTGGAAGATGGATAAAGGAATGTTCTTGAGTTGGAACTCCAGGAGTTCTCGGATTTCTCTGACTTCCAGCTGTTAGAGGGCAGGAACATTCTCCTGTTCATGGTAGGGTTGCCACAAGCAGGCCTTCGTGGTCTGGGTCGGGTGCATGGATGGTAGAGGTGATGCCACGATGTGGGCTGGTGGCCGGGAGAGTGTGTGTGTGTGTGTGAGAGAGAGAGAGACAGAGAGAGACAGAGGGCGATTTGTGCACAATGCTTAATGTCTCTCATCCTTAGTGTTTCCATCTGTACAATGGGGTTACTGATTTCTCCTTTAGGTTTTTTCTGTGGCAGGTTAAAGGACTGGAGTAAGCACCGAATAAACAAGGTGGTTATTGATGTAGGAGGAGCTGAGCACAGGACGGGTGGAGGGAGTGCAGGGAGTCCAGAGGAGGAGAAGTCCTGCCCCAGTGAAGTGGTCAGGGCAGGCTTCTTGGAGGAGGTGTCTTGCAAGTCAGGCTTCAAAGGAGGATGGGCGGTGGTGGAGCAGGGTTTGCCCTGGTTCAGAGGGAGAAGGGTGGTGGGTGGGAAGTTGGGTGAGAGTGAGGGGTGGGCATGGGGCTGAGCCCAGGCGACTGAGGAGAGGCGCTAGTGAGGCAGGCAGAGGGGAAGCAGATGGAGCTGCTTTCTGTCGTCCAAGAAGATGCCAGGGGCTAATCGGGACCCACAGAGTTCCTTCCTCTTCATCGCCTCGCACTCACACCCTGGGAGCTGTGATCCCAGATCTGCGTGACAGCCCCCCTTTGCTGGCAGGATGCTCGGAGCCCCTGGGCCTGAAGGACCACACCATCTCTGACGCGCAAGTCACGGCCTCCAGCACCTACAAGACCTGGGGCCTGCGGGCCTTCGGCTGGTACCCCTTCTACGCACGGCTGGACAATCAGGGCAGGTTCAACGCCTGGACCGCCTCGACCAACAACGCCTCTGAGTGGCTGCAGGTGGGTCGGGCCCTCCTGGTCGGATGGGATGGGTGGGGCTGCCGATCTTTGACCCACCCCCACCCCTGGCCCGGGCTTCTGCTCCCCAGGAGAGTTTCTTAAAAGCCTTGTTTTCCTTTGACTTTTCTCTTTCACCTGCCCCACCTTCCCCCTGATCCTGCTCCCCCCAGGGGCCCCCGGGTGGAGAAAGGGTGCGTGTGTGTGTGTGTGTGTGTGTGTGTGTAGAGCCACTTCCATCGGCTGCCATGGGGTTGACAAGGCACCGTCCGCCCACAGCAGGGCAGGACGGAGGAGGGGAGGAGGGAGACCTGACCCAGGCGTCTCGGGACCACTCCCCTCGGTCACAGAGCGGATGTTGTCTGACTCGGTGTCTGAGAACCCACCGTGGGACAGCCCTTGCATCTCGTTGAGACTGGGCAACACAAGAGTGTCACGGAAAACTGGAGCTTGCTTTATAGATAAGGAAACTGAGTCCGGGCAGGGTGAGAGTTTCGCTGGGGCTCACCTGCTGGCTGGCAGGGAGCTGAGTCTGCAGCCCGGATCCTGGCACTGCCTGTCGGGGCAGCTGGCAGGCTCTCGGGTGGCCGGGGACCGGGGCAGGAGGTCCGTCTCTGGGCCCCGTGCAGCACGCCATGGCGCTGGGTTCCCTGAGGAGCTGCCTGCGTTTGGGCGCCCTCAGGACCCACGGGAGGCCGTGGGCAGCCCTGCAGGGGCCTCCAGAGCAGTGCTCGTCCACAGGCTGCGGCTCCCGTCCCTGTCCCCCTCACACCCAGTGCAGGTCGAGGCAGGGGCTGGCATAGAGTTGGCCAGGGCCCAGACTCTGAAATACGAGTTCCCCTGCAGTGACATGCTGATGTCACATGTGCAGAGTGGGTGGTGTCATTCCTGCCCGTTGTATAGCTGAGGAAACAGGCCCTGCCGAGTAAGCCGCTTTGCCGAAACTAGAATCCACGCGCCAGCTGTCTGCCTCTTTCCACCTTCCTGGAGATGGTTCAAGCAAGGCAAACGTTGCTTTCTTCTGTAGGTCGACCTGGGCTCCCAGAAGGAGGTGACGGGTGTCATCACCCAGGGGGCCCGTGACTTTGGCAGCATCCAGTATGTGGCATCCTACAAGGTGGCCTACAGTAATGACGGCAGGACGTGGACTGAGGTTGAGGACTCCAGGACGGGCAAGAGCAAGGTGGGCGTGTGGCAGCTGCCCTCCCCTCACCGCTGCCTCCCCGCTTCCCCGGGAGGGTGGGGGACTTCCTCTGAGGGTGGGGGACTGGCCGGGGCCCTCCTGACACCGCCTCTGCTTCTAGATCTTCCCCGGCAACTCGGACAACAACTCCCACAAGAAGAACGTGTTCGACACGCCCATCCTGGCCCGCTCGGTGCGCATCCTGCCCGTAGCCTGGCACAACCGCATCACCCTGCGCCTGGAGCTGCTGGGCTGTTAGTGGCAGGCCTGGCCCAAGTGGCCAGAAGAGCCACCGAGGCCACCTGCCCCTCCCTGGTCCTCCTGCCTTCTGTGAGCCTGCTGCCCCTGTGGCCCTGCCTGATTGTAACCGGGGCTGGGGGCAGGGAGGAGAGGCTTTCAGCTCCACTAGGCTGTCACCCCTCCCCCTCCCTCCCCCGTCCTCCCCTCCCCCTGCCCCTGCCACCAGCCCTCACATGTCCCTTTCTCTTCTGCACTGCAGGAGTGAGTAGGTCTGGGGTGGACGGGAAAGGGGGAAGTAGGGCACGTGGGGTCCCTGCACCCTGCAGACCCCCGAGTCCAGGCCCTGGGTTGAGTCTAGAAGTGCCTCTGTGTCCTGCCCAGCCCCCTCTCCCATGCACGCTCCCACCCCCAGGAGGAAGGCCCAAGGCGCCAGGCTGGAGATGACAGCCAGGATGCTGCCACTCCGGCCACTGCCACCTGGTCCCCCAGACACTTCCCCTTCTCTCCCTGGAGACCTCTCTTGACCCTCGTCTTGGAGAGGGGCAGGTGGGTCCGTGGAGAGACGCAGGAGCCAGGTCAGGGAGGAGGGGCAGGCGGGGTGGCGCGGGGCTCCGTGCCGGCTCTCACCCCCCAGTGCACAGGCAGCTCCCAAATATATTTATATTCACTGGAACTCCTGCTGCGCTTCGTCATTGCCGCGTGCAAATGGGATGCAGGGGTGCTGTTCCCCCACCCCCAGCCCTCCCTGAGCCTGGCATTCTTTGTGTCACTGGCCCTGCTTCTGGCAGCCTGACAGCAGAAGGACGGAGACTGGGGGCGGGGGTCCTCGCCTGGCTGTACCTCCTCCCCTCCGTCCACCACTCCCACGACTATCTCAACTATCTTGTCCTGGGGCCCCAGCTGCTGCCCGGGCAGGGGCCTGGCGGGTGCCTGGCACAGTGGCTGTCTCCAGGAATGCCTGTGTTCCCGTCCCGCCAGGAAGACGGGCCAGGCTGGGACTGCTGGTTTTCTCCTTTGGCAATTTCCATTTTGTCTGCAGCTGGAGTGGTGGGCTGGAGAAACCATTAGAAGCTCAGTGAACCTGGCTGCCTTCAGAGCTGCGGGAGGTCCTGGGGTAGGGTGGAGGGGGGATGGGAGGAGGGGCCAGGGCTCTGCCAAGTGGGCACGAGGCCACTGGCCACTGGCGTGTGCACTCCAGGGCTGGAGGGAAGCTCCAGGGGTTCCGCCCCTGCCCTCCCCGTCAAGAAGTGGCTGGCATGGGTGGGGCGGGGGGCAGAGCAGGGCACTGGCCTTCCCCTGGCGCTTTGGGAAGAAGGTTGGCACACAGGAGGGACTGCCTAGTTGGGAAAGGGGTGTGGGAAACCACCCTGTTTCCAAGCTGAATTTCCCTGGGCGGCAGGAGGTCGGCCGCGTGGCTGCACAGGGGAGGGCGTGGCTTTGCTGGAGCCACACCAGGGAAATCAGTCTGGAAGTGGCTCCTTCCTGAGACCTGCCATTGCCAGGGCTTCTGGGCTGGGCAGGGACAGAATCAAAGGCCCAGGCGGTGGTCTTTGTAGGGACTGGGGATGTGGGACTTCCCACCCCAGGGGGTCCCTTGGCCCACTCCTCCCTATTTCTGAGCTCTGTGGAGCTGTGTGGATCGGGTTTGGAGGGAAGTCTTTCTGGGTGGTTGCTGGCCTCCGGACTCCCTCCTGGGGGCATTTCCTACTCCTAGCCCCTGTTCTGGTCTCCGCCGGGCACTAGCAGACAGGGAGAGAAGCATCTTTCCTGGCACCTCTGCACTGGGATGTTTCTGCCCCCCAGTAACTAACTGTAGTCTGAGCCTTGCTCGGACCCAGGAGTCCTGCTTGCAGCAGGTGAAAGCGTGAGTTCCATTCTCCTCTGCCAACTGGCCCAGGTTCACGCATTGAGTGTTTCCTGTGGGCCAGTCTCATTGGCTGACTGGCTGTGCAGGCTGGTGAACAGTGGTCACCAGGTCCCCACCTGGCCCAGGACACCCAAGGTGACTCTGGACTTGCCTAGGCCACCTCTCAGTCCCTTCTTATCTTTGTAGCCTTGGATGGGTTGGCCACAGCCTTCTGAGGTTCCCTCTCCTGGGACCCTGGACCCCTCACTCCTGACACCCTATGGCCTGGGCTCCCCGGCTTGAGCCGGTCCAAGTGTACAGCTTACTACCATCACCTCCGCAAATTTACTTTTTTCTTCTTGACTGCGGTCCAGAGAGCCAGCGTTGAGATTCCACCTGCCTAACTGACCCTCCCTGCTGTCCACCCCTCTCCCTACCCCTGTGGCTGTCAGCGCTGGGACCTGCTCACCCTACCTCCCCTGTCCTCATGTAGATGTGGTGGAGTGAATAGGAGCTCAACGCCTCAAGTCAGACAACCTGGGTTCAAATCCTGGCTCTGAGTGACGGGCAATTTGCTTAACCTCTCTGGGCCTCACTTCATCTGTAAAATGGAAACCGACTATGGCCTTGTTGGGACTAAAGGACGATGCACAGCGGCACTGAGCAAAGCCTGGCCCATCAGAGGCCTCATAAACTCACGCTGTCATCCGCAGAGAAGCTTGCAAGAGTGTTCTAACTGGCACTTGTGTCCTGTTTATTTTCCCCCAATCTATCTTGCACTCAGTGGTCAGACATGTCTCTTCCCTGCAGTGGTGCCTTCTCTATTATCTCCCTTTGCCCATCAGGCCTGGCGTCCCTTTTAGGCGCAGTTACCTGTCCCCACGGTCCGTGTGCTCTGGTTGCCCCAGGTTGCGTGTAATAGACACACGTTCTGCCGGGGGCCGTCGTGAGGCGTGTTTAGGAAGAGGCTCTGGGCTCCGTGGCTCCATGACCCTTCTCCCAGCCGAGGCTGAAAGATCTCCTTAGTTTTTTCTGCTGAGAAAACAACAGGGCCATCCAGGCCAGGGCCCCCAGTTGGCCTGGACGGGAAAGAAAACACCCTGTACAAACAGCGGCATCCTGAGAGGTGGCCCGGGATGGCTGTGCCTGCTGATAGATGTCAGGATCCCTAAGGGGGCCCACCGGGTCTGAGGACCGGTCAGAAGCCTGATTGCCCCGCAGGCTGCTGGGAGCATCCCATCCTGTGCCTTCCCTGCGGGCCAGGGCCACTCATTCACCTACTATCTGCCTGACACCGAGACTGCATGTTGGCCAGACTCGGGGGCAGGAGGTCAGCACCCCTTGCCTTCTGTGGCGGGGAAGGGAAGGGCATACAGAACTCCCCTCTCCCAGAGGTGGGGGCGGCCACAGCCCACTCGCAGAGTGCTGGAGGGGCTCCCCTGCTTAGTTCCACCGATTTTGGATTTTGGTAAACCAGGTTTTCTAAGGGGATCCTCTTCCACCCCCACTCGCCTTCGCCTGCAAGACGCAGACTCCTAGACTCTCCTTTCACCGCGTGGCCAGCCCCTCTGCTGTGTGGGGTGGTCCCCAGCCGAGGGCGGAGACACGCCCCAGTCAGCAGCGACTCCTCCCTCGGGGCCCAGGCCTCGGGAGGGAAAGGGGCGCGTGTTCCTTTAAGGGGCAGGCGGGCGGGAGCGCGGGGGGCTCGCACGCCGCCACCTCCTCCCAGGCCATTCCCGGTCCCCAGTCCGCCACTGCCTGGCCCGGGGCGGCCGGCGCGGAGCGCTCCAGCCGTCGAGGAGCTGCCGGGGACGGTACGTGGCTCAGGGGTCGCTGGGCTCCTGGGCCCTGTGCCGGCCCAGCTCCTCCCTCCCTGCTCTGGGTCTCCTGCCGGCCCCGCGCACCGGGCAGGTGGGGGCAGGGGCAGGAGGGGGCAGGGGCAGGAGGGGGCAGGGGCAGGTGGGGGCAGGGCAGGAGGGGTGCGCCGGGCACTGCTGCGGCAGAGCTGGGCTGAGATCGCTGGCGCTGCTGCTCCGGATGCAGGCTCGCCCGTGCAGCCCTCGCGGAGCAAAACCTGAGGGCACCCTGTGGCGCCCGAGACCACCGCCAGTGTCTTGCCCCCTCCCGCCGCGGTCCTGCCCTCCTCCGGTCTGGGTCCTGCCCCCCTCCCGCTGCGGTCCTGCCCCCCTCCCGCCGGGGTCCTGCCCTCCTCCCGCCAGGGTCCTGCCCTCCTCCCGCCGGGGTCCTGCCCTCCTCCCGCCAGGGTCCTGCCCTCCTCCTGCCGGGGTCCTGCCCCCCTCCCGCTGCGGTCCTGCCCCCCTCCCGCCGGGGTCCTGCCCTCCTCCCGCCAGGGTCCTGCCCCCCTCCCGCCGAGGTCCTGCCCCCCTCCCGCCGCGGTCCTGCCCTCCTCCCGCCGCGGTCCTGCCCTCCTCCCGCCGCGGTCCTGCCCTCCTCCCGCCGGGGTCCTGCCCCCCTCCCGCCGGGGTCCTGTCCCCCTCCCGCCGGGGCCGCTGGGCCCCTTCCTGTCTGATCCTGTCCTGGTCCTGCCGCCTCCGGCACCGCGCAGCGCGCCAGGCTCTGCGGGGGACATCTGTCGGGTGCTCGGGCTGCGGTCCCCGGGAGGGGCTGGGACAACCTGCGAGGCGCCAGGCGGGCAGACGAGCGGCTCTGGCCGCCCCGGGGCAAACGCAGGGGATGCCCGTCTGCTGCAGGCCTCGGTTCACAGGGCCCCCCCACGGGGTCGCCGAGGCCAGAAGGGGCCGGGAGGGCGCGGGTAGAGCCCTGGGGGGAGGTGGCTCGCTCTGGCAGGAATCTAGCCCAGGGAGCAGCCGGGAAGGAGTCAGCGCGGGGCGCTTGGTCCCAGCCTGCCGCCAGCTCGCCCAGTGGCCACAGGCAGCCTGTGGCCCTGTCTGGACCGCAGGGGCCGGCGCAGACCCTGGGAGCCAGCAGCGGGGGCGGCTACTGGGGGGGCCCCGCCCCTCTTCCACGACTCTGCCCGGCGGGAAAGCTGGTAGGAAACACCCCCGCCTCCGGCTTTCCGGGGGCGCGGGTTTCAAAGGCCCCTGGCAAGCCCTGTCCAAACAGGGGCACTGATGTTAAATTCCTCCGGGAGCCGAGCTGGTGGCGACCCGGAGTGCTGGCCTGGGGGGCAGTGCTGCTCTCTGCGGACGGTCGGCGACCGGTACACAGGGTGGCCCAGCGAGAACGTGAACTTGTGAGGCTCCCATGAGCCAAGGCTCGGCTCACCGCTTACTGCTCGGCTGCGGAGGGGTCCGGAGGCACGTGGGCCTGGGAAAAGCAAAGGGTTGGCTGTCAGGAGACATGGATTTTCTCTAAGTTCGAGATATTTGCCAAAGGTAAAGCCTTGGGTGGCTCGCTCACCCCCACGCCCCTGGCCTCAGTTTCCCCCAACTGAGAAGACAAGGCAAGGCTGGCTGCTTTCTCTCCTGGGCAGTGGGAGAGGAGAAAGAGGCACTGAGGTGATGGGAGACTTCACTCTGTAAACGGCCAACAAGAACGATGATAGTGAGGAGTAATATTTTTGAGGGTTTGCTCCCTACCAGGCAGTATTCTGCAGCTGCGCAGATATTCCCCCCCCTTAACCTTCACAAAAATGCTTTCTGGTTGGTATTGTCGTGACCCCCATTTTACAGATGGAGAAACTGAGGCCCAGAGAGGTTCAGTGACTCGCCCAATGGCAGACTTGTTAGTAGGTGGACGGAGCCAGAACTGAATCCAGGTGGCCAGTCTGACTCTAGAGCCGGGAATCTTTGCCACTGTGTTCTTCTGCCTATAACATATCAGCTGCTGTTTGTTGAGCACCTGTTATGTGTCAGAGACTGGATATAATTCATCTCATAACATCCTCACCACAGCCCTTTAGCGAGGAGCTAGTTGTTTCCTTTTTTTACAGATGAGGAAATGGATGCACAGAGAGGTTGAGTAACTTGCCCAAAGTCACTCAGTAGGACGCAGCTGTGTCCAGCTCTAATTCTGAGCCCAGGTCTGGGCACCCAGCAAGGCTCCAGCTGATGTGGGGAGCCACCCACTGCTGAGGGAACTGGGCTGGACTTGGTCTTGGGCCTTCCAGCTGGTGGCACCTCTGTAGTCCCGAGGGGCTGGCAGCTGGGTGACCCGGGCAGGGGAGCAGAGGCTGTCCACCCCGCCCCTCGGTGGTAGTGGTCAGGGCTGTGTCTGGGACAGGGCAGCAACTCAGTGGCAGTTGCCACAGCCGCCTCCCACCCGGACTCTGCTTCGTGCATGAGCCTTAGCATTCAGGCTTGTCCTTGTCCTCAGCTTCCCCTTCAGTCTTCTCTGGAAAGAGGGAACCTTCTGTTCAGAGAGGTAGAATGACTCGCCCAGGATCACGTAGCTAGCAGGTGGCAGAGCTTTGATCCAAACTCAGCAGCGAGTCGAACCTGAAACCTCGGGCTCTGTGGGCTGCTCCCCTCTCAAAGGGTGCTGGAAAAGGAGGGCCACTTCCTCCTGGGTCGTGGCTCTTGGACATAGGGCTTATCTTTTTTCCCTAATGCCTTTTGTTTTTCTTGGCATCCTCGCCACTGTAAGGTCGCGTTACTGCTGGGCTAGCATCCAGCAAAGAGATGTGGGGACCAGGTCGCACCCTTCCATTTGAGGCAATGTTAATAAACCGGAGAGTAAGTGAAATTGGGTACCCGGGTGGGAGAGGGGCCGGAGTGATGGGGAGAACTCGGTAGGAGTTTTAGCGTGGGAAGGAGGAGCCAGGATAAGGATATGCATTTGATAGGAGGTCAGAAGACATCCAGAATGGTCCTTGTAGAGTGTGAATCAGATTCATGCCTCTCCTCTGCTGACACCCTTCAGTGTCTTCCTTTCTCAGCAGAACGTCCAAGGTGCTACATCAGGGGCCTCTGGTTACTCCTTGGACATCATATCCTGCCGCCCTCCCTCGCACTCCCCAGGCTCCAGCCTCGCTGTCCTCCGAGCCGTTCCTGCCAAAAGCCTGTGCGCGTGCTGGAAGCTCCCTGGAATGCTCACCCTCCTGCATCTTCAAGGCTCGTGCCTTCATGGAATAGCCCCTTCTTGGGGGCCTTTCTGATCCACCCCGTTGGGAGGAGCGCCCCCTCCCCTGCTTCATGTTTCTCTATCACATGCATCACTCTCACCTCGGCATACCACGCGTCATGTTCGTCGTCTGTCTCTCCCTAGAACATAAACTCCACGAGGACTTCGGTTGCGCGTCCCCAGCGCCAGAGCACATGGTAGATGCATGGAAATTATTTGCTGGATGAAGAGGGTCAAGTCCCAGCTCCTTTATCTGACTGGGTAACCTTAGGCAAGCCTCTTAGCATTTCTGAACCTCAATTTCCCTGTCTGTACAATGAGGGTAATAATTCTGACCCTGGGAGGCCCACAGGCAATTGTGTTGGTGCAAGTGCGTTGACAATTGCCAGGCAGTCTTTAAATATGACAGACTGTTAGGGAGATTGGCTGAAAAGAGTTCAGCAGAGTCCTGGCTCTACCCTCTCCTGGCATGTGACCTTTGGATAGTTGCTTCCTGTCCCCTTGCCTCTGTTTACTTGTGGATTAAATGGGGAGGGGGAAAATCCTCCTTGCTAACCACCAGGGGCTCTTGGGAGGATCGTGGGAGCGGCTAGACGGGGGAGCCCCTTAAACGCCAGGGAGCGAGTGTGGTGCCAAGCTGGAGGTTGTAAGCGTGTGCCGGTGTCACTCAGGCTGGGGAGGGGCACGTCTGAGACTCACGCTCCACGGCTCTGGAGGACAGAGCTCACTGGAGGACACCGGAAGGTGCCACAGCGTCTTCCGCCTCGGTGCATGTCTCTGAACTGGGCCTCGCCTCATCCATGGGGGAACAGCATTTGGAAACGCATGGGCTCAGCAGTCACGTCCCCAGTGCGTGAATTGTGTTTCTCACAATTAGTGAGCGAGCTTTAGCCATGCGTGAATTCCTGCAGATAAACGCTGGCAGTCCCACAGAAAGTGCCTTTCTGTAGCGTTCATACAGTTGTCCCTCTTTATCCAAACCCTTGCCATTCACTGTCCGAAACTCGGGAACTAAATAGATTTGGATAACGCAGCATCCCTTCCTACCCCGACTCTCCAAACCCTCACCATCCAAGCTTCACCATCCCATCTCTAGGACATGATAGATTTGCTGAGGAAGGAATACGTGCCTGCCTGGCTGGTTTAGCTGCTTAAGATAATTTAACATAAAATTTTCTGATAAGTCTGGCAGGTGCTGTGGCTCACGCCTGTAATCCTAGCACTCTGGGAGGCTGAGGTGGGAGGATCGCTCAAGGTCAGGAGTTCAAGACCAGTCTGAGCAAGAGCAAGACCCTGTCTCTACTAAAAATAGGAAGAAATTAGTCGGACAACTAAAAATATATATAGAAAAAATTAGCCGGGCATGGTGGTGCATGCCTGTAGTCCCAGCTACTCGGGAGGCTGAGGCCGGAGGATCGCTTGAGCCCAGGAGTTTGAGGTTGCTGTGAGTTAGGTTGATGCCACGGCACCCTAGCCCAGGCAACAGAGTGAGAATCTATCTCAAAAAAAATTTTAGGAAACATTGCAAAGGCATATCCTTGTGTTAAAAGGATGAGGACATTGCAAAGGCATATCCTTGTGTTAAAAAAATTGATTGAAGAAGATGATTTCACCGTGGGTCAGACTTTTAGTTTTGGCAAATCTGGTTTCTATGGGAATCAGATGCCCCAAGGACTCACCTCTCTAAGGAGGAGGCCCTTTTCCAGTGGTGAGGGCTGCAGAGGGCTGAGAGAGGCACCGGGCGCAGACGTCAGTGGAGAGTTAACCGTGCTGGTGTTTTCTGTTAGGATTGTTCTTGTTTTGTTAGTGGTCTGATTACAAAGTCGCATATGTTTTGAGTAGTCTGCCCTAACTTAATTTCCCCCAACCTTGTTATTTTTTTAATGCATGATTTTGCAAAAATGCACATTTCCGCCCCCAGGGATACAGATGTCACTGCGTGACAGAAATGGCTGCATAGGTTCATTCCCAGAAAGCCCTTTCTCACTGGGGAGCATTTGTGTCAGAGGAGCTGCCGTAAGAGGCTGGGAACATTGCAGGCAGAGGCTGGGTGCCCTGCCACTCAAGGAGGCTCCGGGTGCCCAGGGATGAGGCAGACTCTAGGACATCCAGCTCGACATCAACGTCGACAAGTCCTCGTTCCACTTCCCTCCAAACTTCTGGTTCCAAACGTGGAGCCAGAAGGAAGGGAAGGGAAACTGACTCCTACAAGGATTTGCTCTGTGCCGGGCACTGAGCTGTGTGCTCCACACAGTCACCTCCCTGGACTTGGCACTGTGGGTCCAGGCTTTGGAGCTGGAATGGGTTCAAGTCCTAGCTCTGCCACTTCCTTGCTGAATGACCTTAAGCGGATTACTTATTCCTCTGTGCCTTGGTTTTCCCATCTGTAAAATGGGGATACGCATAGGTCCCAGCTCTGGGGCTTGTGGTAAGGATCCAATGAGGCAGTAAGTGTTCATTAAAGTCAGTCGTTCATACTTTTGTGTTGATCATGGCAACCCTGTGAAGTGAGTCTATTTGTTAGGCCAACTGAGGCTAAGCTATTTTCAAAAGAGGCTCAAAATGGGGTGACTTAAATACGATAGGACTATGTTTCTTTCTCGTGGGACAGTGCTGTGGAGGAGGCCCAGGGCTGCGGGGAAGTTCTGCCATTCAACTCATGGTTCCCATCTCGGAGTCTAAGCTGGTATAGTGGTTGCTGGCAGGCTGGGGGAAGAATGCTAGGGAAGGGCACCCTCACTTGTTTTAACTGCAAGGCCTGGACATGGTTCGTGATTACTGCTGCTCGCTGCCTTTGGCCAGGACGGAGTCGCATGGCTTTTCTAGCTGCAAGGGGGGTTGAAAATACAGCCTTCACCATGCACCTACAGAACTCTACTATTACAGGAGAGAACTAGGATACGCTGGGGACAGATATGCCAGGGTGGGCTTTGCAATCAACGTTTCACAACCGAGGAAACTTGCACAGAGTCACACAGACGAGATTTGAACCCAGACCCTCCAGTTCCCAAACTCTATACCAGGTTGCCACTTGTGCTTGGGCTGCCCGGGTCCACGTCACCAAGAGGCCCTGTGGGTGTCAGGAGGGGAATGCCTCTTGGACAAGGAGTGAGGCTTCAGAGGGGGTCGTGTCCCGGCTGCAGGGCATGGCACAGAGGCAGGTGGGGCCGCAGGATTTCTGCAAAGGCGTCCAAGAGAACGGTGGGTTCTACCTCTCAGCTTCCTCCACGGCCACTCCCTCCTCTCCAGCAACAGCTCCTAACTGTTCTGGAAACAAGACCGTTTTCCTCCATAGCCCATCACCCCTACAGGCAGTGTTTCGTTTTTCTTTCTCGCTCCTTCCTTGCTTCCTTCCCTCCCTCTTTCTTTGCAGGGTTCCCTCCCCTCCTGGATCCTGCACACGGGCTTTTGTAAGACCACAAACTTGCCATCCTAGCCGAGTGGCAATTGTGTGTTCTCCTTTGTCTATTTTAAATTACACCCTAAGCATTCTTCCATGCCCTTACATGATAATCCTAGTTATATTTGCAAATGCCTGCTGTCACTGTGGTCTTGCTACCCCCAGGCCCCGGAGGGATGTTTCTAAGGTGTGAGTCCGATCCTGTGACTTCTCTGCTTAGAGCCATCATGGCACCCCAGGACCTTTGGGACAAGGGGCAGGCTTCTGGGCCTGACACTCAAGGCCTCCAATCACCAGCCCTGGTGACCCAGTCACCTCCTCTCCCCCAGACCAGTTGGGGTCTTGGCAGGAAGCAGAAGTGGAACCAGATGGTTCCAATAAAGAGACTTTAATGAAAGAGTGACTTCTAGAGAGGAGAATGCAGGGACCGAGCAAGGAGGTTGGGGACAGAGAGACGAGCACCAGCTGTGGCAGAGCACCGGAGGGCAGGCAGCGGGGAGGAGATACCCTGTCCACCTTCTGTGGTTGGCTGAAGCTGGCTAGAAGCCAGAGGACCAGGGGGACCAGGACAAGTGCCCCACAGGGATCAGTGCACAGCAGAGAAGGGCAGACACTGGACCTGGGGTCTGGGGGGACAATGGAGGACATCCAGCACGCACCCAGCCCCGTGTGCTCTTGCTGGCCTCACACCTTTGCTGTAGCTGTGTCTCCGCTGGGGAAACTGTCGGTCCCCTTCCACCTGGCGAGCGCCCGTGCCTTCAGTCTCGTGCCCACGCTCCTTTTCTGTGCCCCAGCTTCATGCTCACCACACAGCACCGTGACTACCGGCCCGTGACTCTGCCCTGCCCTGGACCGAGCTCCTGCCAGGAGTGACTTGGTCTTTTGAGTGTTAAGAGCGCTCAGCACACGGCAGGGGAGAGGGGACTAGGGCAAGATGGACGAGGCACTGGCTTTGGGTGTGAAATTTAGGTGGAGGAGGAAGGGGGTTTGCCAAAAATCTTAGTATTCAAGACATAATATTTAATACCATAGTTTTATTTTATATTTTTTTGTTTTATTTTATTTTTTTGAGACAGAGTCTCACTTTGTTGCCCAGGCTAGAGTGAGTGCCATGGCATCAGCCTAGCTCACAGCAACCTCAAACTCCTGGGCTCAAGCGATCCTCCTGCCTCAGCCTCCTGAGTAGCTGGGACTACAGGCATGCGCCACCATGCCTGGCTAATTTTTTCTATATATATATATTAGTTGGCCAATTAATTTCTCTATATAGTAGAGATGGCGTCTCACTCTTGCTCAGGCTGGTTTCAAACTCCTGACCTTGAGCAATCCGCCCACCTTGGCCTCCCAGAGTGCTAGGATTACAGGTGTGAGCCACCGCGCCCAGCCAATACCAGAGTTTTAAAAAATCAGCAAACTGCAGTCCATGGGTCAGCTGCCTATTTTGAGTATCCACCCAAACAGGAATAAGCACCCCAAGAAGGGCTCTAGCGGGGTGTTAAAAAATTCTTTTTGACCTTGACCCAGAGTAAGAAAGAAATTTCACATTGTGACCCCCTACCTCACCCCCGACAGACATTTCTGGACTGAAACAAAGATTTCACAGTGCAGGACTTATGGTCAGTAAACATGCAATGCGCCCTGGCGTTTTCTATTCTGGTCTCGTCTACTTGGTTTCATTAAAAAATGCTGCTCACAGCCTTTGAACTTCAAACCGTGGCTTGAAAACTGTTGACACCGTCTTACCGTCCTGTTTAATTTCCTCCGTAGTCTTTTGCTGCCTAGTAACGCCTCTTACGGTCTGAGCCTGTGCTCGGTGCCCAACTGCCTGGGGGTGCAGCCCCTTGGGCAGGAACCTATTTGGCTTGTCACTGCTGTCTTCTTGGCTCTGGGGACACTGCCTGGCACGGGGACGGTGCTCCTCAGGGAGCCTTTGAGCAATCGGGCCAGCGGATGCTGGAACACGGGTCCGGGCCCCCCCGCAGCCGGGCTTCTCTGACTGCCGTGTTTTCTTCCTCTCCGCAGTTGGCCCTGGGGCCCAGCCTCGTCCGGACGCCCTGGCGCTGCGGCTCTGCATGACGCGATGGGCCTGCTGCTCGCGGTCCTGGTGCTCCTGCTGCCCGGCGTCTCCGGGCTGCCCTTCTACAACGGCTTCTACTACTCCAACGGCCGGAACCCCGGCAACAACGGCCACGGCCACGGCGAAGGTGGGCGGCCTCCTGGGCGTGGCTCTTTGCTGCCCTGGGTGATCAAAACCTCCCCCGGTTCCTGCTGTGACATGCAGGTTCCAGGCTGAGATGAGGGCTGGGGCACGTGGCCGCCCCTTTCCTATCTGGGCCCTCGCAGTGGCCCGGCCGTGCTCTAAGATGAGAGGAAGAGGTGGTTTAGGTATCTTGTTCGCCAGCCCCTTGGACATGGAGCCAGATTCACTTAGGTTTTTTTATACTTCCCCCAAAGTCCTGCCAATTTTTTTAAGATCCAGCTTAAATGTGATCTCCCCTGGTCTCCCCAGTGGAAAGGGGATTTGGGGTCAAAGAGACATGAATTTGAACCTTATAATTCTGCCTCTTACTAGCAGTGTGGCCGTGGGGAAGGGCTTTTCCATTAGCAGCTATTGTGCACCTGGTACGGGTGAGCCAGGCTCCTAGACGCCTTGCATATATGCTATCGCATATAATCCTTACAAAAACGCTGCTGTGGGCAAGGGTGAGAATGCAAGTGTTTAACAGCCAGGCAGTGTGGCTGCAGATCAGGCGGAACTGATGCTGGCTGCTCTTGCACTCCTAGAGGTGGATACTGCAATGATCCCATCTCGCAGATGAGGAAACTGAGGCTCAGAGAGTTGAGCCAGTTGCCCTTGCCCCACAGTTATTAAGAAGACAAGCTGAGGCTTGTTTGTGGAAGGAATTAAAAGGTCAATAGTACCCAGCCCCTGCCACGAGGAGCTCCCAGCCTGGCCTGCAGATGAGACATGAGCCACGAGGCAGGGCTGGGTGTCTGTCACCCTGCCCTGTCCCTTTGGGTAGGTGGCTGTGCCTACAGAGGAATCTCCCCACTTGTTATTAGTCTCCCAGGGCTGCTGTAAGAACTGCCAGAAACTCTCTGACTTGAAACAGAAACGTGTGCACTCACAGTTCTGGACGCCAGAAGTCCAGAGTCACTTTGCCCAGGTAGAAATCAAGGTGTTTGTAGGACTGTGCTCCCTGGGAGGACTCTGTCCTTGCTCTGCCTTCTCTGGTTTCAGGTGGCTGCCAGCATTCCTTGGCTTGTGGCCACATCACCCCAATCTCTGCCTCTGTGGTCACATGGCCTTCCCCTCTTTTGTAGTCAAATCTCCCTCTGCCTCCCTCTGTGGAGGTACCTGTGCTTGCATTTAGGACCCAGCTGGAAAATCCAGGATACTCTCCCCATCACAAGATCCTTAATTTAATCACACCCACAAAGTCCATTTTGGCATAGAAGGTAACAGTCCCAGGTTCCAGGGATTAGGACCTGGATATTTTGGGAGAACATTATTTAGCCTACCATACTCTTATTCTCCAGAATTTATTTTATTGTGCAAGCATGACTTTAATGAGATTCTAGGAAATTTAAAAACTTAAGCTTCCCCACAATTCCAAACCCATGACTCTATCAGACCACCAGGCTAATGGTTCATTTTCCTCTTTCCCTTCAGCCTCTGACTATATGCCAGCAAATCACAGATAATTCCCTTGCCCCGAGGAACGAATGCCTGCTAACTTGTTAGGTACGGGTTAAACATCCCAAATCCAAAGATCCAAAATCTGAAACTTTTTAGGCGCCAACATGGTGCTTAAAGGAAGTGCTCATTGGAGAATTTCAGATTTCGGATTTCTGGATTAGAGATGCTGAGTGGATAAGTATAATGCAAATATTCCAAAATCTGAAAAAAATCTGAAATGTGAAACACTTCTGATCCTAACCATTTCAGATAAGGGATATTCAACCTGTATATCCTTCTAACCTTTCATACATAATTAAGAAAACTTTCTTGATTAAAAAAAAAAATCGGCTCATGCTATACACATGGTTTTGTAAACTCCCTTCTTACCTCATAGAATACAAACCTTTTTCTAAGTAAATGAGTGAATATACACATGCCAGATTATTTTACATGACAGTATAGTATTTTGTCATACGGCGGTACTAAGGTTTTGTCGTGTGGCTGTACATTTTCATTTTATTCAAGTTACAGCTTCAGACACAGGGTTGGGGAAAACAAAAGGAAGTCACTGCTGCGTGACAGTCCGGACTCATACCTATTGGGCACTTTCTGTGTCCCAGGTGTCCTGCCTTGTCTGATTTGACCTTGTCACAGCCCTCCGTAGGTACCATCACTGGCCCATGCTTCATAGGAGGAAGCTGAGGCTCGACCTTCCTAGATTACACGCTGGGAAAAGGTGGAGCCAAGATGCATGCCCGGAGTGCCTGCCTCTGCCCGAGGTCCCAAACCTCTGTCCCTACTGCCTCTCCACAGCAGGGCTGCTCCAAGTTGAGCGAGCTTCAGAGTTCCTTGGAAGAAGGCTTTTAAAACACCAATCACTGGCCCCACCCCAGAGTTCCTGATTCAGTAAGGCCCGGGAATATGCATTTCTAGCAAGTTCCTCATGATGCTGCTGCTGGCCCAGGGGCCACACTTTGAACTAGGGAATCGGGCCCGTTGGGTACAGCTCTTTTTCAGCTCGAGATCCTCTACAGGCAACCTCCCTGTTTAACTCCTGCTGACCCCTCAGGCTACCCCCTGCCCCCACCTTGTGCACCTCAAGCAAGTCTTGACGTCCAGACCCAAGAGAATGAGATCGGCAGGTCCCTATAGGGGGTCCCAAGTTAGAGATGAAATAGACTTAGCTCGTAAATTGATTCTTTCGTTGCATGTCTGATTCGGTGTTTATTTGTAACTCTGAGCCCCGAGTATAGTCTCCTCTGGAAGCTCTGGCCTTAGCTCACCAGGGTTGCTCGGCATTTGGCAAGAGTCATGGTGGACAGCTGGACTTGAGGCTGTGCTCCCCTGTGGCCGGTGTGGTAGGGAAGGAGACTGGGGGACCCGAGCCAAGGCCACGTGTCCTCGCCACCCACCTCACGTGGAGGGGCTCTTCTTGCCTGCCATAGCAGTTAGCTTCTGATGCAGAACAAACCACCCCAAAACTTAGTGGCCGAAGATAACAGCCACTTACTTCGCTCATGCTCTGGGGGCCAAGCATTCGGAGTGAGCTCCATTTCCCCTGGTCTCGCAGATGCGCCTGTCGCGGGTTGGCAGGTCAGCTGGGGCCGGGGTGCTCTAGGATGGCCTCTGTCCCCTGTGGTCCCTCGTGCTCCAGCAGGCGAGCCAGGCATGTGCTCACGTGGCTGGCAAGGTCCTAAGGGGGGAGTGGAAGCAGCAAGGCCTCCTGGGACCTAGGCTCAGAAGCGGCACAAAGACGGTCATTTCCACTGCATTCGTGCGGTCAGCGCAAGTGGCAAGGCCAGCACAGATTCAGGGGGGCAGGGAAATGAACGTCACCTCCTGGTGGAAGGAGATGCAAAGTCACACTGTGGGGCGTGTGGCTACAGCAGGGGTGGAGCATGGTGGCCGCTTTTGCAATCGGTAGTAGCTGAGCCTGGAGGTGGGTGGGGGTGCAGGCGTGGGGCGGCCGCTGCGGGGGTACAGACACCTGCAGTCGGTCCCCATGTGCACCCCTCCTGCCCCCCCAGGCCTCTTCAGCGGCGTGAAGCTGGTGGTAGAGACGCCCGAGGAGACCCTGTTCACCTACCGAGGGGCCAGCGTGACCCTGCCCTGCCGCTACCGCCACGAGCCGGCCCTGGCGTCCCCGAGGCCCGTGCGTGTCAAGTGGTGGAAGCAGCTGGAGAACGGGGCCCCCGAGCAGGACGTGCTGGTGGCCATCGGGCCGAAGCACCGCTCCTTCGGGGACTACCGAGGCCGGGTGCACCTGCGGCGGGACGAGGAGCGGGACGTCTCGCTGGAGATCCGGGACCTGCGGCTGGAGGACTACGGGCGCTACCGCTGCGAGGTCATTGACGGGCTGGAGGACCAGAGTGGCCTGGTGGAGCTGGAGCTTCGGGGTGAGGCCCTGGCTGGGACTGGGTGACGCCGGGACCTGACAGCAGAGGGGAGAGGCCTGCGGAAGCACCCGGGCCTTGTGCTTCAGACACAGAATTGCATTTAATCTTCAAAACAAGCCCACGTAGAAGCTACTGTTATCACCACCTCCCTTTTATAGGTCAGGAAAATGAGGGCCAGAGAGGTCAAGTAACCCGCCTGAGGTCACACAGCTTGCAAATGGCACAGCTGGGGTTTGAACCCAGGCAGTCAGCCTGCAGAATTTGCTCCCCTCTGCTCCTCCTCATTCACATGCCATCCAGAGAGAGGGAAATGGGAGCTGCCCCACAGCTTATCGGAGACAGAGCTGAGATTTGAGCAGAGTTAGCAGGGTTAACAGCAACACCAACGAATGGGGCAGGCCCGTGTGAGATGACTGACGGGAGTGTGAGGACCGGGTGCACAGCCGAGCCCTGGGCCCCTGGGGTCCTGGGCTGCTCTGGCCACAGGCAGCCACGCTACCTGGGCCCAGGCCCTGCGGATGATGCCTCGCCAGAGGGCAGGCCCAGCACCGCCAGATTTTCTGATTTGACAGGAGAAGCTTATCTTTTTGTGTGAGACCTCTGGATTTTCATGTAAACATCTCCTATATATAAAAAAAAAACAAAACCCACCAGACCCTGCAAGCCAGATCTTGTGTGTGGGCCCCTGTGGGAGGTCTGTAAGTTGCTTTTTAACCTTCTCTGTTTCTGGGTCGGGGCTGGGACTCCATACCTCTCACACCTGTACCTACAAGGGGGCAGCTGGGGGCAAGGAGAATAACCTAGTTCCCCAGCTGTGGCCCCTTGGAGCTCCAGACCCTTCAGGTGTAAAATGGGGACTAACAGCCCCTCCTTCCCCTCCCACAGCGGTGACAAAGATAAACTGTGTTCCCTCAGTCTTTGCCCGCAGTGCCCGCCTCTCCAATCCAGTGGCGCAGGTGGTGGCTCAGAGGGGCCACATTCCTCGCTCCCGAAGTTGGGGGTGGCAGAGGGACGGGAGGGAGCCTGCGAGAGTCATTTGTCTGGGGTCTGCGGGGGTGGCCTAGAGAAACAGGGAGCCTCCACCCCATTCCTGGGGCTGTTAGGGTTAGGGCCAGGGTGGCCGCAGGCAGAAAATAACCCCCTGCAAACACACACGGAGGTGGCAGGTGATTGGCAGCGCCTCTCTGCCCCTCAACCAGCTCTGCCCAGGGCCCGGCTTCCTGCCCCAGTGAGGTGGGAAGTCTGGGGCTCGATACATTCTCAGGTCCCTGGCCACAGGGAGGAGAGTCTAAGCAGTTTGGTAAACACCATCAGCCAAGCAGGGTCCCTTCCCAGGCCCCCAGGGTCACCCCCACTCTTAAGGCTTCATCTAACTTGGAAGGGACTGGATCTTGGATGTTTAAAGCGCTTTTTATTATAGCAAAGTTTCAAGCATGAATGGTAACCTTTGCGGGGAGCCTGTGGCCCCTATTAGACCCTGGCCACCAGAAGGGACCAGACCTCCCTGACCTCGAGCCTCCTGTATTTAAGGGCCTGTGACCACCTTTCTTGCCCTGAAAATCGTCTGTCACACGGGGAAAGTTCCTTGCATTCTCCTAAGAAGCTTGCGCGTGCAGAGTGAGGCATGCGATTGGCTGTCCGCTATCGACAGGGGAGCAGGGCGCCACGCCCGGCCGGCCTCCTGAGCCCAAGGCCCGTGCCTGCCTCCTGTACACACTAGACATGCTCCCTGGGGTTCCTGTGACAGCCCTGTGAATTAGGGATTATTCCTGTTCTATAGCCAAGGCCATTAGTTGACCGGTTAATTAATTTCCTTAACAAGTTAGTAAATGTTTTCTGGGCACTGCTGCGTGCCAGCCCATGTCTAGGATGGACGTGACAAGCAGATCCAGGCTCTGCCTTGGACTTGGTAGTGGGCAGGAGAGCAGGGGTGTGCCGAGCTTTCCCGAGGGACAGCGTGTGTGTGCGCGTGCACACGCGTGTTGGGGGGAGCACGTGTCCAGCCAGCCGCGCCCCGCCCACCGCTCCAAGCTCCTCTTTCCTCTCTCCCAGGTGTGGTCTTCCCCTACCAGCCCCCCCGGGGGCGCTACCGGCTGAACTTCCACGAGGCCCAGCAGGCCTGCGAGGAGCAGGACGCGGTGGTGGCCTCCTTCGAGCAGCTCTTCCGGGCCTGGGAGGAGGGCCTGGACTGGTGCAACGCGGGCTGGCTGCAGGACGCCTCGGTGCAGTACCCCATCACGCTGCCGCGGCAGCCCTGTGGCGGCCTGGGCCTGGCGCCCGGCGTGCGCAGCTACGGCCCCCGCCACCGCCGCCTGCACCGCTACGACGTGTTCTGCTTCGCCGCGGCCCTCAGGGGTGAGTGGAACGGCTGGGTGCAAGCCCGTGGGTTTGGTGGCCCCTGGGGACCTGGGAGAGGGCAGCGTCTGGGAGCTTCTGGACCTTTCTGCCTGCCTTGCTGGCACCCCGACCTGGAGGCCTGGAGCACCAGCGGGCCTTGGGGCAACGTCCGTCTGAGTTTCCAGGGCTTTGCGGCTGCTGCTTCAGGCCGGTCGTTGGTTTATCAGACACTTTCTGAGTGCCTAGACTAGGCTCGGAGGCATCGCAGACGAATAAAACACAGTCTGTCCTCGCCAAGCAGCCCGTTTCATAGGCAGATAAACAAGCAAAAGCAGAACGTGGCTCGGTGCCGTATTCTGAGCACTTAGAAAAGTGCCTGGCACATAGTAGGTGCTCAGTTAAGTGACTGAAGGGGCGGCAGACTGACTGGCCCAGCCTAGGTGGGGTGCCCGCCAGCGTGCAAGTGGGCAAGGGGTGTGGGTGAGCACAGACACGACTGGAGGGACCGCCCTGCTGTGGCAGGTGGGTGGCACTCTCAGGGACAGGGTGAGGACCTGGAATTGTCCCCAGAAGTGCCCACCGCAGATGCCCACAGCAGGACAGCTCCCCGGGCTGAGACGGCTGTCAGGTCGCTGGGGCTGGCCTTGTTGCAGGCCCTGCCGCCCCCCGCACTGCCCTGCACCCACGCCTGCCCGCTCCCCTCAGGGCAAGTGTACTACCTGGAGCACCCCAAGAAGCTGACCCTGGCCGAGGCCACGGAGGCCTGCCGGGAAGACGGCGCCCAGATCGCCAAGGTGGGACAGCTCTTTGCCGCCTGGAAGTTCCGCGGGCTGGACCGCTGCGACGCTGGCTGGCTGGCAGATGGCAGCGTCCGCTACCCCGTGGCCCACCCTCGTCCCCACTGTGGGCCCCCGGAGGCTGGCGTCCGCAGCTTCGGCTTCCCAGACCCGCACGCCGCCTCCTACGGTGTCTACTGCTACCGCCCGCGCTAGGGCCTGGGCCTGTCCCCTCCCGCTCCCGGGGCTGTGTGTTCATTGAGTGGCTCCTTTTCCCTTGTGGGGTGGGGCAATTTTAGTATTGTTTTTATACTTCTAAACTTAAAAAAAAATATTTCACTATTTTTGTAAACCTGACGGAATCCAATGCCTCCCTTTGCTCAGGTGCACAAACCCCAAGGCTCCCCACATCCCGGAATCCTCCCAGCCTTTCCTCTGGGACCTTTGAGGTTCGTGGGCTTTCAGAGGGCTCCCTGCCCTGAGGACGCTGTGCCCCAGCGTGACGGGGCATGGTGGCTGCAGCTGTCCCCAACCTCGGCCTGGGGGAGGGGACGGCCTCCGGGCCCCCTGGAGCTGGGCTTTGGGGCTCTCCTGCCTCCTCCCTCCAACTTCTCCACGAAGCTGCTGGCCCAGATCGGCCACTGAGGAGGGAGTCCTAGGCTTCCAGCAGAATCTGCTCCCCATTCTCCCTCCTCTCTCGGTTCCAAAGAGCCTGCGTTTTCTCCTCATTCTTCCCTGGGTGGAGAGCGGCCCTCTGGTGTGTGCACTTTCTCTGGACAATAAATGGTGCTGTGACTCACCTCCTCCAACCCCAGCCCCCCTCCTCTGCATCTGTGTCTTGCTCTGTCTCAGGGCCCAGCCCCTGCCCGGCGGGCATGTGGAGGGCGGCTCCATCCCAGCTCCCCAGGTCTGCTGGGTCAGTCCGCCGGGTGGGCAGGGGGCTCTGTGGGCTGCCCCTTCCGGCCGCCCTGGTTCTGGCCCTGCCTGTCCACGGCACACCCTGCCTCGGGGGCTGGCCTTGCGTCTGGGGCCCTGGCCTGGGTCACCCCCAGCCCCACGCCCTCGCGGGATGTCTGCGTGAGGCCTGGCCGAAGCGCGGGGGTGCCTCTCGGAAGACAGAGGCCATGCCTCCCAGAGGGTCTCGGAGGCCAGGGGTCTCGGGGACCACCCCTCTCTGCCTCACCCCTGCCCCACCCGCCCGCTTCAGGAAAGCAGCCCTGCTGCCTGGCACGGGCAGGCCTCGCCCTCACCGGTCACCGATTCTGTCAGTTCTTCCCTCGGCCACAGCATCCTGCCGCTGGGAACTTGCTAGAACTGGATGTTCTGGGCGGAGGGGGGAAGGGGGCAGAGCACGGTGTCATGGCCAAGCCCTCCGTGTGGTTCTTATGCACACTTAGGTTTGAAAACCACTGACAGGTGTGCCACCAGCTAATGAGCTAAATAATCAATTAAGTGCCGGGCCCTCACTTGGGACCACGCTGCACCCGCCACTGTGGCCCTCCCGCTCTTTCCAGAGCTAGAGGCACGCGTGACACACGCTCAGCTGTGCGCTCACCCACACCTGGAAAGGTACCAGCACACACAGTCGCCCCGCACGCTCCAGCACACGAACGCACTCGCAGACACGACGGCACGCCAAGCTCCCGACGGGCCGGCGTCCGAGGAGGAGGCGTGGGTGGACGGGCACTGCCTGGCCCCCGCGTGCCCGCTCAGCTGTCGAGGTTCCTCAGGGGACCCATAAACAATGGAGAATGTTTCCATCGATGCCCCACAGCCCGCTGAAGGGCAGAACGCCAGGCCTTTGTGCTTGTAGCCGGCTAGTCAGTTTCCCCTGGGGATGTGTAAGCAAGATTCCCTGTTCCCAGGCTGTCTGCAGTTTGCTTTTTCTCCCCTCTTTATAAATCCTGGTTTTTGCCTCTGTTCTTGGACTCAGTCTACCAGCTGAGTCCTCCCGCATGAGCAAACGGTGCGAGGTGACCAGATGTCGCATTCGAGCTGTTGTTTGGCACGCACACACATATCCCCTGACGGACACAGGTCACACATGTGACAGGCACACCCAGGCACACACGCGTACAGACACACCACACGGGTCTGCTCATACTCCACATTCACACGCAGACACACACGTGCAAATAATCCATCACACACGTCGGTGCCCTAGTGAAAACGAAGCACAGCAGATGTGGCAGTGCCCGGCTCTGGACAGACAGCAGTTGCACTAACTAATTTGGGATTGTCTGGGTGTCTGCACTGCCACCATCCTAAGAGCCCCTTCAGTAGACCCCACATCATGGTTGCCTCTCCTTAAGTGGAAAAAAGAAAAGGGAAAAGAAAAGAAATAGTTCTCTTCCAATGTCTTTATTATCATTATAATTATCATAATCTTTAGTTTTCAAAAATATAAATAGGTGCACGGAACCCTGGTGCCTGCACGGTCCCGGGGGTTGGGGGGGAGGGGAGGAGGTTGGGGGGCACCCCCTTGGGAAGGAAGCGCCCCCACCCGGCCCTGCCAAGTCAATGCCTGCTAGGGTGGCAGACCCAGGTGAGAGGACACTGGAGGGGGGGACCCTTGGAGGAACCTGACCCCCACGCAGCGGAAGGTCCCTCGGTGGCTCTCTCCTGCCCGCTCGAGCTCACCCTTGGTCGGCGGGCGGGACCCTGCCCTCTGCCCCAGCGTTTTTCTCCCGCACACAGACCGTGCCGCCCTCCTGGCTCCTCTTCCAATTCTCCAAGCCCTCGGGCCTCTGCCCCTTCCAGCTCCTCCGACCCTCCTCCCTCGCTCCCCCTGGAGGTGAAATGACCAACGATTGCACTGCTCTTGGATAAAGTCAGGAAACAAAAATAATCTTCTTTATTTAACTTAACCCTCCCCTTCTTCCCTGTCCCTGCACTGGTCCCTGGAAAGGCACAACGGGAGATTGAAGAAATGTCTCTAAACTCAGTCCGCGGGTTACAATCAATTTGCTTTGCTTTGGCATTTAGGGGACAAATTGGATGCAGTTTTGGTGATTTGGGGCGGGGTCAGTGGGTGCATACACAATGTAGGATTTTTTTTTTTCCTTCTTTAATGGGATTCCTTATATGACAGAAAGTGACAAGAAGAGGACACCGTCTGGGAGGGGCGCGCTGTCAGCCTGGCAGGCTCCTGGGCTCAGCGTCCTTGGCGCGTGCTGCAGGCTCCTCTCAGTGGGCCGTGCTGGGGCGGCTCCTCCGCGGGGGCCGAGAGCTCCGCTTCTGTAGCCGGCGCTTGTAGGTGGCGGCTGGGGTGGAAGGAGATGGGAAAATATCGGTGGACCCAGAAAGACAGTGGGGCTGAGCCCACGCTTGCCCCAGCTCCCCCTGGCTCCCTGAGGACACCGGGAGCTCACTGAGGCAGCCTGGGGCTTTAGGGGCTTCCCTGGTCTCCATGTTCCTTTGGGTCTCCTGGGGCTAAGGGTATGCACGCAGGTGCTGAACAGGACAGCAGGCCCTCCACCCTCTTGGTGAAAGAGAAGGAGCCCTCTCCTGGGAGGGTTCCTGGCCACCCTGGGGGACAGGGGCAGCCCCCGACCTCACTGCACTTCCTCGACCCTGTGGATGGCACAGGGTCCCCGGGGCAGGGCGGGCCACCACAGAGCTCTGGGGACAGGGAGGAGGCTGCACTGGCTGGAGCTGACCCCGGGCCCCACGAGGGGGGGAGGGCGATGCTCACGGTCCGTGCAGGTGATCCGAGGCTCCTCCCAGTGCCCGTCGGGCTGGCAGCGGATGGTGGGCACGTGGCGCTGGACGAAGCCCTCGGCGCACTGGTACCGCACCAGCGAGTTGATCTCGTAGCGGTCCTTCCTCTGCCCAAAGGTCCTGGCGTGCTCCACCACCGGGGGGTCTCCACAGGCCACTGAGGGGCAGACACCCGTTAGAAAGAGCTCCCATGGGGTCGTCTATGCCGACCCTCGCAGGCTGCGACCCCAGGCACCTCGGGAGGGACGCCGAGCCCCTGCCGGTGAGCACCAGGCCCTAAGAATTTGGGAACTGCTGGTTCTAACATCTGACTTCCTCAACGACTTAGAGCAGCAGGGAGGGAACACAAGGGGAGGAGTCCCTAAGGGGACAAAGAGAGGACAAAAGGGAGGGAGAAAGGTAGGGGAAGAGGGCGAGAGCCCAGTTTGCCGGAAGCATCCAGTTCAAGGGGAAGCAGGACCCGACCCGCAGGAGGCCTGGGGGCCATGAGCAGGGGTGGGTGGGGCGTGTCCCACCAGTACCTCCATGTCTCCTCCATGACTTAAAGCTGAGGGATCAGGGCCTGACAACTCTGCTTCTGTGGCTGATGGACTTGGGGACCCCAGAGACAGGAAGGCTCTCAACCGAGGTGCCCTTGAGGGTGACTTTCTCCCGCCGATGTCCAAGGGGCGGTGTGTATATGTGGAGTGGGGGGTCCTGTCCTCTAGCCTGTGACCTTCACATGCTCACTGTCCCTGCAAGCAGTCCCGAGCAGCGAGCTGGCCCTTGCCCTTGCCATTGGCCCCGGAATGCTGGTGCTGGGAGGGGCCCCCGGCCAGCTCCAGTCTGCCTGCTGGACAGGCGAGGAGCCACCGCAGCCAGGACACAAGGGACTCGCCCCGTCACACAGCAAGACCTCACCTACAGCTGAAGTCTGGACCTTACCCACTCTGGGCCCCCTCCCGGGCCCCAGCTCACCTGTGCCCTTTTTACAAGTGAAGGGCAGGTGGTAATTGCAGGGAACATCGTTCCACTCGCCCTTCTCGTGCCAGATCATCACCACGCAGTCCTCTCCGGTGGCAAAGAAGTTGTCGGGCTGGTTGGGGCGCCAGTTCTCAAATTGCTGCAGGGAGTGGGAAGGGGTGAGGTGGGAGAGGGCAGGGGTGAGGTGGGGGTAGGGGTAGCCCAGCTTGGCCTGGCCCCACCTTCTTCCCCATGGAGCCTCTCCCCATCTCCTTCCTCTTTTGCCCCAACTTCTGGCCCATCCAGGAGCAGCACAAAGGCCCCAGGGAATGTGGTCAGGGTTGCCCCCGGCACAGCGGAACCCACGGCTCCTCCAGGGAATGGGCCACGCAGCCCAGCTCGGGTCCGGGGAGTCACGGTCCCTGCTCTTTTCCGGAAGGGCCAACAAGGGCCGACCACACAGCCTGCCTTGCCTGGGCAGGGCTGGGTGGCAGAAACTGGGCTCTCCAGTCCAGACTCCGCCCGCCAGAGCGGTGCCCCAGGCTTCTCCCTGCAGCCTGGCTTCAGTACTCCCCCTCCAAGTCCGCCTCTTCCAGGCAGCCTTCCCTGAAGCCCTCAGCCCACTGACCTCAGCACTGACTGCCCCTCCTGTCCACTTGGCACCTGTGTGGCCTTCTGTCTGTCCCCTGGAGTAGACTCGGGTCCTCTGTGGACAAGCTTCCGTGTCTCCCTCACGGAGGTTTGCTGTTACTCCCTCACTTCCCTCCTGGCACCATCATCCCTCAACCTGTCCCGCCCCAGGCTGGCTCTGGAGGCAGAGGTGGAGACACAGTCCTGCGCTGGAGGGCTGCAGGGGCTGGACCATCTCTCCCTTTGCCGCACCCCGTCTCCTCTGGGCCGCCAGCTGCGCCTCTGCAGAACTCACCAAGGAGTGTCCGTCTGACCAGCGGAAGTCGCCTTCGATGGTCCTGTCATTCAGGCCGATCCACTGGTAGTCTTGGGCATTGTCTGGAGAGAGGACGCGGGTGTGGGGTCTGAGAAACGTGGGCTCACAGAGGCAGAGGGGACAGAGGGGACCGCGGTGGAAGGGCTCCTAGGAACATGCCGCCTGCCTGTCAGGGCCTTGCAAGGGTCTCAGCACACGTGTGTCTGGAGTGCACTTTGGACCTACACTCCAAGCTGGCAGAGACAGGTGACAGCCCCAGGGCTAGTCTGGGGCCGACTCTGACTGGCAGTGGGCTGTCCTGGTGCAGCCAGAGCTCCTGGCCCCGGAGACCTCTGCCTTCTGCTCTCAGGAAACTCAGACCCGGGAACTAACCCTAACCGTTCCCGTTCCCCTCCCGGTCCCCTCCCCTGCAGCACCCAGGTCTGCTGGCTCCCAAAAGGTGAGGTCCTTCGCCCACGCGGCCACTTCCTTCCCAGGTCCCAGGGGCCCCGCCACACTCACTGTTGACAAACTCCTGCTCCTCCGGGGTGACGATGCTGCTCAGGTGTGACTGATGCTCCCGACACCGGCCCTCGGCGTCCACCCAGGTCTCGCGGTCGGGGAAGTGGCGGTAGCAGTTGCCCTGGAACTTGGTCCAGCCCTCCTCGCAAACCTCCTGGTCTGCAACACAGGGCGGGGCTTGAAGGGGGTGTCCCTCGGCCACTGGGGACAGCGGTGCCACCAGTCTGTGGCAGGGATTCCTGCGCTTGCCCCGCCTCACTCCCTGTGCCCTCGGGGGAAGGGGGGACAGCTGGAGAGAGGCTCCGCTGGAACCCAGGACGGCTGGCCCCGGAACCTCTGAGCACGTTCCCACCTTGGGCGATGCCAGCAGCCCTGTCTTTCCCTGCTGCCACACTGTCCCCTCTCCCAGGCTTTCCTCTGCTGATGCCTGCTCAGGAGGGCTGGATTGGTCAGCAGGCCAGGGACAAAGAGGCAGGAAGGTGGGAGGTTTTGAGATTTAAGGCAACACATGGCGCCGGGCCCTGAGGGGGTCCAGGGACAGAGGAGCCGTGCTGGGGCACGGGATGGAACTGGCCACTTCCTTCCCACACAACCTCTGTAGGGACAGAGGAGCAGAGAGAAGTCTGCTTTGGGTCCACAGAGGACTCAGGCCCTAAGGCCATCATCGGCCAGGGCTGACTCCAGTGGGGCACGCCTGGAGGGCGAGACGGCCAACGGGGGTCCACGACCTGGGGGCCCCAGCTTTTTATTTTCTTTTATTTTGGTGGCAGACAGGAAGAGGGTGGGAGCTTCTCTCTGCACAAGGCTAAATCTGAATTGGGTTCTCAGTTCTGCAGAACAGGCTGTTTGGAACTCTTGGAGGAGCCCAGAGGGGCAGAGGCAGGGCGTGCTGGAGCCGGCCCCTCAGGCTTGAGGGAGCTGACAGTCTCTTCCCAGCTCTGCCTGCAGTGACTTCACATTGTCAGTAGCTTTACACTGGCCCTGCTGGGAGTGTTCACACCTCAGGCACGAGCAGATGCGACAGCACTGGGCAGAGCAAATTCCAAGGCCCTCCCTTCCTCTTCCCTGGGGCCTTCCGGGTGGAGGGCCATGAACCCCCCAGGCTGCACAGCAGCCTCCCTGATGGGGTGCCACAGTCTGGCTGTCCCAGGAAGGAAGGACCAGCACCCGAGGGTAAGCAGTCTTAGGCAGAAGGGGCGGGTGCTTGGCGAGGTGGAGGAGAGACAGCTGCACGCGGCGGAGAGAGAGGAGCCCAGAGGCCAGCAGCGGGAGAGGAAAGAGGCAGAGCAGCAGGAGGGTCCCCTGCTACCCACGCCTCCCCCAAGGGGCGAGCAACGCGTTGGAAAAGGGCAGAGAGGCCTCAGAGGTAGCTCAGCACCATAAAAAGGCATCCCAAGGATGGCTTGTGGGGCCAGTTTTGGGGCTCCCTTAGTGCCTGGGTGCTGAGCTGGGCAGGCAGAGCCGGAAGGTGCAGCTGCTGGGGCGTGGGCGGGGGGCATGCAGGATGGAGGCCCTGGGGAGACAGAAACAGATTTGCAGGACGGCTGGAGGCTGCAGGGCAGAGCCACGGCAGGCGGTGCGGTGGGAGATGAGGGCTCAGGACCAGGATGGGAGAGTAGATGCAGCCTGCTTGGCTGGGCATCCTGGCCCAGGGCCCAGCTGGGCGGTTCCAGCACCATCTCTGCTCCATCAGGGTGCACAGCCCAGCGAGAGCCCTGCTTCCATTCCAGCAGAGCCCCCTGCCCAGTCTGGGACCCAGGAGCTGTTGTCTGCATGGATGCCCCAGACCCCTCTCCCCTCTGGCAAATGTTCTGACATCCTGAGGAGAAAATCCTTGTAGCTCTCCACTCCCACCCCAGCCAAGACCCATGCACCAATTTCTTGGTGTCTTGGGGTCAGGATGGAGAGTGGAAGACTGCAGGGGAGGGTGTCCAAGTCTTTTCTTCCAGAAGCCTTAATTTCTTCTACCGGTCTGTAGCCTTGGCAATGCCTTCAAGGAGCATGCAATCCAAAACTACCTCCCCAAGCTGCTTAGGACCAAAGGGAGACTTCCTAAGAGTTTCACTTGCTTTCTGGAAATTTCTGGGTGTCCAGCTTGAGAGTTCATTGAAAAGGGTTTTAAGCTTAGCGCCTGCACCCTTCCAGTTCTGCGTGGACCATGGCTACCAGCATCCCAAAGTCTCATCTCCCCTTTTCTGAGTTGGGGAGCCCCTGAGATCCAGGAGGCTGGGGGGAAATGAGGAAGAATGAAAGGTGAGAGGGCTGAGGGCTCAGTTTGGCCCTGGGAGGCGTCCTGGCACCCAGCTCCCCTTGGCAGAGCTGGCTGCTCTGCTTACAGGAAGAAGCGGAGGGGTTGGCTAGGCCCGAGAGAGGAAACTCAGCCTTGGCCCTTGCAACAAGGCTCCGTTCTCTCTGGCCAGCCCTTTGCTTTGCACGAGAGAGGAAGAAAGGAAGCATGGGCTGATGTGGCATTGATATGGCAACTGTCACAGTGGTGATGAGGAGAAGGTGACATGCAGCAGTCCCTGCTCATGCATGACTTGAGCATGCTGGTGACACGGGAGCTCTCAGGCCAACCATAGCTCTCACCCCAGGAGAAGAGGAAGGCAGCTTGGCCAGTGTGGCACAGTGGCTCCCAGGGCCATGAAGGGGCCACAAAGGTCCCATGGTCATGTAGACACATGCCCACGGCCACATTGAGAAGATCCGTGACTGTCATGTGGAGTGAGAAACCCATTACTCCCACTCCATGGCTTCCTTCAAGACAAACGCCTGGAATCAGCTCCGTCCTCTTAGCCTGACACATGCACCAGCCTCCGTGGTGGCATCAGCAGGTCTGGAGCGCTGCAGAAGGTTAGTGTTTTAAAGGTTCCCAGAGCCCCCTTCCAAAGTGCGGGCTGCCGCAGCCCGCACGACTCCTACAGTCAGACCAGCCAGCGCCCCACAGGAGGGCCTTCAAGAGGAAGAGCAAGAGAAAGAATGGGAATCAGGGGTCAGACTTTTCTGCTGTGGTCCCTGGTATGGCTGTCCAGATGGACCTTGGGGACCCCAACTGGGGCCTGGAGCCTGTGGTTAGAAGGGAAGCGTGAGGGAGGAGGAGGGGGAGCAGCAGTTAGTGACATTAGCTGAAGCCGAGACGGCCGTACCGATCTCACACAGGTCCCCTCCGTAGCTGGGAAGGCGACCAGACACACACGTGCAATAATCCATCACACACGTCGGTGGCCCTAGTGAAAACAAGCACAGCAGATGTGGCAGTCCCCCGGCTCTGGACGACAGCAGTTGGCACTAATTGGGGATCATCTGTGTCTGCACTGCACATCCTAAGAGCTTCAGTAGACCCACATCATGGTTGCCTCTCCTTAAGTGGAAAAAGAAAAGGGAAAAGAAAAGAAATAGTTCTCTTCATGTCTTTATTACATTATAATTATCATAATCTTTAGTTTTCAAAAATATAAATTACGGTGCACGGAACCCTGGTGCCTGCACGGTCTGGGGTTGGGGGGTGAGGGGAGGAGGTGGGGGGCACCCCCTTGGGAAGGAAGCCGCCCCCACTGACGGACCCTGCCAAGTCAATGCCGCTTAGGGTGGCCAGACCAGGTGAGAGGCACTGGACGGGGGGACCTTGGAGGAACCTGACCCCACGCAGCGGAAGGTCCCTCGGTGGCTCTCCCTGCCCTGCTCGAGCTCACCCTTGGTCGGCGGCGGGACCTGCCCTCTGACCAGCGTTTCTCCGCACACAGAACCGTGGCTGCCTCCTGGCATACCTCTTCCAATTCTCCAAGCCTCGGCTCTGCCCTTCCACTCCTCCGACCCTCCTCCTCGCTCTCCCTGGAGGTGGAAATACCAACGATTGCACTGCTCTTGGATAAGTCAGGAACAAAAATAATCTTCTTATTTAACTTAACCTCCCTTCTACCCTGTCCTGCCACTGGTCCCTGGAAAGCACAGGGAGATTGAAGAATGTCTCTAAAACTCAGTCCGCGGGTTACAATCAATGTTGCTGCTTGGCATTTAGGGGACAAATTGGATGCAAGTTTTGTGGATTTGGGGCGGGGGTCAGTGGGTGCCATACACAATGTAGGATTTTTTTTTCCTTCTTTAATGGATTTCCTTATATGACAGAAAGTGACAAGAAGACGACACCCGTCTGGGGAGGGCGCGCTGTCAGCCTGGCAAGGCTCCTGGGCTCAGCGTCCTGGCGCGTGCTGCAGGCTCCTCTCAGTGGGCCAGTGCCTGGGGCGGCTCCTTCCGCGGGCCGAGAGCTCCGCTTCTGTACCGGCGCTTTGTAGATGCGGCTGGGGTGAAGGAGATGGGAAAAATCGGTGGACCCAGAAAGACAGTGGGGCTGAGCCCACGCTTGCCCCAGCTTCCCTGGCTCCCCTGCGGACACCGGGAGCTCACTGAGGCAGCCTGGGGCATTTTAGGGGCTTTCCTGGTCTCCATGTTCTTTGGGTCTCCTGGGCTAAGGGTATGCCACGCAGGTGCTGAACAGGACAGCAGGCCTCCACCTCATGATGAAAGAGAAGGAGCCCTCCTCCTGGAGGGTCTGCCACCCCTGGGGGACAGGGAAGCCCCCGACCTCACTGCACTTCTCGACCCTGTGGATGGCACAGGGTCGGGGCAAGGGCGGGCCACACAGAGCTCTGGGGACAGGGAGGAGGCTGCACTGGCTGGACTGACCCCGGGCCCACGAGGGGGGGAGGGCGATGGCTCACCGGTCCGTGCAGGTGATCCGAGCTCCTCCAGTGCCCGTCGGGCTTGGCAGCGGATGGGGGCACGTGCGCTGGACGAAGCCCTCGGCGCACTGGTACCGCACAGCGAGTTTGATCTCCGTAGCGGTCCTTCCTCTGACCAAAGGTCCTGGCGTGCTCCACCACCGGGGGTCTCCACAGGCCACTGAGGGGCAGACACCGTAGAAAAAGAAGCTCCATGGGGTCCGTCTATGCGACCCATCGCAGGCTGCGACCCGCAGCACCTCGGGAGGGACGCCGAGGCCCTGCCGGGAGCACCAGGCCCTAAGATTTGGACTGCTGGGTTCTAACATCTGACTTCCTCAACGACTAGAGAGCAGGAGGGAACACAAGGGGAGGGGTCCTAGGGACAAAGAGAGGAAAAAGGGAGGGAGAAGGTAGGGGAAGAGGCGAGGAGCCAGTTTTGCCGGAGCCATCCAGTTCAAGGGGAAGCAGGACGACCGCAGGAGCTGGGGGCCATGACAAGGGGTGGGTGGCGGCGTGTCCCACAGCACCCTCCATGTCTCCTCCATGACTTAAAGCTGAGGGGATCAGGCCTGACAACCTCTGCTTCTGTGGCTGATGGACTTGGGACCCAGAGACAGGAGCTCTCACCGAGTGCCCTTGAGGTGACTTTCCCCGCCGATGTCCAAGGGGCGGGTGATGTGTGGAGTGGGGTCCTGTCCTCTAGCCTGTGACCTCACATGCTCCTGTCCCTGCAAGCAGTCGTCCGAGCAGCGGCTGGGCCTTGCCCTGCCATTGGCCCCGATGCTGGTCTGGGAGGGGCCGGCCAGCTCCAGTCTGCCTCCTGGACAGGCGAGGAGCCACCGCAGCCAGGACACAAGGGACTCGCCCCATCATACAGCAGACCTCCCCTACACTGAAGTCTGGACCTTTACCCACTTCTGGGCCCCTCCGGGCCCAGGCTCACGCTGTGCCTTTTACAAGTGAAGGCAAGGTGTAATTGCCAGGACATCAGTTCCACTCGCCTTCTCGTGCAGATCATCACCACGCAGTCCTCCTCGGTGGGCAAAGATTGTCGGGCTGGTTGGGGCGCCAGTTCTCAAAATTGCCGCAGGGAGTGGAAGGGTGAGGTGGGGGGCAGGTGAGGTGGGGGTAGGTAGCCCAGCTTGGCCTGGCCACCTTTCCCATGGAGCCTCTCCATCTCCTTCCTCTTTTGCCCCAACTTCTGGCCATCCAGGAGCGGCACAAAGGCAGGGAATGTGGTCAGGGTTGCCCCGGCACAGCGGAACCCCACGGCTTCTCCAGGGAATGGGCCCACGGCAGCAGCTCGGTCACGGGGAGCCACGGTCCCTGTCTTTTCCGAGGGCCAACAAGGGCCGACCACACAGCCTGCCTTCCTGGCAGGGCTGGGTGGCAGAAATGGGCTCATCCAGTCGGACTCCGCCGCCAGAGCGGTGCCCGGCTCTCCTGCAGCCTGGCTACCAAGTACTCCCCTCCAGTCCGCCTTTCAGGCAGACCTTCCCTGAGCCCTCAGCCACTGACCTCGGCACTGACTCCTCCTGTCCACGTTGGCACCTGTGTGGCCTTCTGTCTGTCCCTGGGAGTAGACTCGGGTCCTCTGTCTGACAAGCTTCCGTGTCTCCTCACGGAGTTTGCTGTTACTCCTCACTTCCCTCCCGGCGCCCCTCATCCTCAACCTGTCCGCCAGCTGGCTCTGGAGGGCAGAGGGGAGACCAGTCCTGCGCTGGAGGGCTTGCAGGGCTGGACCATCTCTCTTTGCCGCACTCCGTCTCTTCTGGGCCCGCCAGGGCCGCCAGCTGAGCCTCTGCAGAACCCAAGGAGTGTCCGTCGACCAGCGGGGAAGTCGCCTTCGATGTCCCTGTCATTCAGAGCCGATCACTGGTAGTCTGGGCATGTCTGGAGAGAGGATGAAGGTGTGGGGTCTGAGCAAACGGCTCACGAGGCAGAGGGGGACAGAGGGACCGCGGTGGAAGGGCTCTAGGATGCCCCTGCCTGTCAGGGCCTTGCAAGGTCTCAGCACACGTGGTGTCTGAAGTGGCACTTTGGACTGCACTCCAAGCGGAGAGACAGGTGAACACCCAGGGGCTAAGTCTGGCCGACTCTTGATGGCAGTGGCTGTCCTGGTGCAGCCAGAGCTCTGGCCCGGAGACCTCTGGCTTCTGCTATCAGGGAACTCAGACGGGAACTAACCCAACCGTTCCCCTCCCCGGTCCTCACCTGCAGCACCAGGTCTGCTGGTCCGAAAGGTGAGGTCCTTCGCCACGCGGTCACTTCCTGTCCCAGGTCAGGGCCCCGCCACAAACTCACTGTTGACAGAACTCCTGCTCCTCCGGGGTGACGATGCTGCCCCTCAGGTGGTGACTGATGCTCCGAACACGGCCTCGGCGTCCACCCAGGGTCCTCCGCGGTGCGGGGAAGTGGCGGTAGCAGTGCCCCTGGAACCTTGGTCCACTCCTCACAAACCTCCTGGTCTGCAACACAGGGGCGGCTTGAGGGGTGTACCTCGGCCACTGGGGACGGCGTGCCGCCAGTCTGTGGCGGGATTCCTGCGCTTGCCCCGCACTCCTGTGCCTCGGGAAGGGGGGCCAGCTGAGAGAGCTCCGCTGGAACCAGGACGGCTTTGCCCGGAAACCTCTGAGCACGTTCCCACTCTGGCCGATGCCAGCAGCCCTTCTTTCCCTGCTGCCACATGTCCCTCTCCCAGGCTTTCTCTGCTTGACGCCTGCTCAGGAGGCTGGATGGTCAGCAGGCCAGGGACAAAGAGGCGGGAAGGTTGGGAGGTTTTGAGATTAAAGGCAACACATGGCGCCGGCCTAGGGGGTCCAGGACAGAGGAGCCGTGCTGGGGCACGGGATGGAACTGGCCACTTCCTTCCCCACAACCTCGTAGGACAGAGGAGCAGAGAGAAGTCTGCTTGGGTCACAGAGGACTCAGGCCTAAAGGCCATCATCGGCCAGGGCCTGACTCCCAGTGGGCAACGCCTGGAGAGGGGCGGCAGACTGACTGGCCCAGCCTAGGTGGGGTGCCCGCCAGCGTGCAAGTGGGCAAGGGGTGTGGGTGAGCACAGACACGACTGGAGGGACCGCCCTGCTGTGGCAGGTGGGTGGCGCTCTCAGGGACAGGGTGAGGACCTGGAATTGTCCCCAGAAGTGGCCACCGCAGATGCCCACAGCAGGACAGCTCCCTGGGCTGAGACGGCTGTCAGGTCGCTGGGGCTGGCCTTGTTGCAGGCCCCGCCGCCCCCCGCACTGCCCTGCACCCACGCCTGCCCGCTCCCCTCAGGGCAAGTGTACTACCTGGAGCACCCCGAGAAGCTGACCCTGGCCGAGGCCACGGAGGCCTGCCGGGAAGACGGCGCCCAGATCGCCAAGGTGGGACAGCTCTTTGCCGCCTGGAAGTTCCTCGGGCTGGACCGCTGCGACGCTGGCTGGCTGGCAGATGGCAGCGTCCGCTACCCCGTGGCCCACCCTCGTCCCCACTGTGGGCCCCCGGAGGCTGGTGTCCGCAGCTTCGGCTTCCCAGACCCGCACGCCGCCTCCTACGGTGTCTACTGCTACCGCCCGCGCTAGGGCCTGGGCCTGTCCCCTCCCGCTCCCGGGGCTGTGTGTTCATTGAGTGGCTCCTTTTCCCTTGTGGGGTGGGGCAATTTTAGTATTGTTTTTATACTTCTAAACTTAAAAAAAAAATTTTCACTATTTTTGTAAACCTGACGGAATCCAATGCCTCCCTTTGCTCAGGTGCACAAACCCCAAGGCTCCCCCCATCCTGGGTATCCTCCCAGCCTTTCCTCTGGGACCTTTGAGGTTCGTGGGCTTTCAGAGGGCTCCCTGCCCTGAGGACGCTGTGCCCCAGCGTGACCGGGCATGGTGGCTGCAGCTGTCCCCAACCTCGGCCTGGGGGAGGGGATGGCCTCCGGGCCCCCTGGAGCTGGGCTTTGGGGCTCTCCTGCCTCCTCCCTCCAACTTCTCCACGAAGCTGCTGGCCCAGATCGGCCACTGAGGAGGGAGTGCTAGGCTTCCAGCGGAATCTGCTCCCCATTCTCCCTCCTCTCTCGGTTCCAAAGAGCCTGCGTTTTCTCCTCATTCTTCCCTGGGTGGAGAGCGGCCCTCTGGTGTGTGCACTTTCTCTGGACAATAAATGGTGCTGTGGCTCACCTCCTCCAACCCCAGCCCTCCTCCTCTGCATCTGTGTCTTGCTCTGTCTCAGGGCCTAGCCCCTGCCTGGCGGGCATGTGGGGGGCGGCTCCATCCCAGCTCCCCAGGTCTGCTGGGTCAGTCCGCCGGGTGGGCAGGGGGCTCTGTGGGCTGCCCCTTCTGGCCGCCCTGGTTCTGGCCCTGCCTGTCCACGGCACACCCTGCCTCGGGGGCTGGCCTTGCGTCTGGGGCCCTGGCCTGGGTCACCCCCAGCCCCACGCCCTCGCGGGGTGTCTGCGTGAGGCCTGGCCGAAGCGCGGGGGTGCCTCTCGGAAGACAGAGGCCATGCCTCCCAGAGGGTCTCGGAGGCCAGGGGTCTCGGGGACCACCCCTCTCTGCCTCACCCCTGCCCCACCCGCCCGCCTCAGGAAAGCAGCCCTGCTGCCTGGCATGGGCAGGCCTCGCCCTCACCGGTCACCGGTTCTGTCAGTTCTTCCCTCGGCCACAGCATCCTGCCGCTGGGAACTTGCTAGAACTGGATGTTCTGGGGGGAGGGGGGAAGGGGGCGGAGCACGGTGTCATGGCCAAGCCCTCCGTGTGGTTCTTATGCACACTTAGGTTTGAAAACCACTGACAGGTGTGCCACCAGCTAATGAGCTAAATAATCAATTAAGTGCCGGGCCCTCACTTGGGACCACGCTGCACCCGCCACTGTGGCCCTCCCGCTCTTTCCAGAGCTAGAGGCACGCGTGTGTGTTTACCGACACACGCTCAGCTGTGCGCTCACCCACACCTGGAAAGGTACCGGCACACACAGTCGCCCCGCACGCTCCAGCACACGAACGCACTCGCAGACACGACGGCACGCCAAGCTCCCGACGGGGCCGGCGTCCGAGGAGGAGGCGTGGGTGGACGGGCACTGCCTGGCCCCCGAGTGCCCGCTCAGCTGTCGAGGTTCCTCAGGGGACCCATAAACAATGGAAAAGGTTTCCATCAATGCCCCACAGCCCACTAAAGGGCAGAACGCCAGGCCTTTGTGCTTGTAGCCGGCTAGCCAGTTTCCCCTGGGGATGTGTAAGCAAGATTCCCTGTTCCCAGGCTGTCTGCAGTTTGCTTTTTCTCCCCTCTTTATAAATCCTGGGTTTTGCCTCTGTTCTTGGACTCAGTCTACCAGCTGAGTCCTCCCGCATGAGCAAACGGTGCGAGGTGACCAGATGTCGCATTCGAGCTGTTGTTTGGCACACACACACATATCCTCTGACGGACACAGGTCACACATGTGACAGGAACACCCAGGCACACACGCGTACAGACATACCACACGTCTGCTCATACTCCACATTCACACGCAGACACACACGTGCAAATAATCCATCACACACGTCGGTGCCCTAGTGAAAACGAAGCACAGCAGATGTGGCAGTCCCCGGCTCTGGACCGACAGCAGTTGCACTAATTTGGGATCATCTGGGTGTCTGCACTGCCACCATCCTAAGAGCCCCTTCAGTAGACCCCACATCATGGTTGCCTCTCCTTAAGTGGAAAAAAGAAAAGGGAAAAGAAAAGAAATAGTTCTCTTCCAATGTCTTTATTATCATTATAATTATCATAATCTTTAGTTTTCAAAAATATAAATAGGTGCACGGAACCCTGGTGCCTGCACGGTCCCGGGGGTTGGGGGGGAGGGGAGGAGGTTGGGGGGCACCCCCTTGGGAAGGAAGCGCCCCCACCCGGCCCTGCCAAGTCAATGCCTGCTAGGGTGGCAGACCCAGGTGAGAGGACACTGGAGGGGGGACCCTTGGAGGAACCTGACCCCCACGCAGCGGAAGGTCCCTCGGTGGCTCTCTCCTGCCCGCTCGAGCTCACCCTTGGTCGGCGGGCGGGACCCTGCCCTCTGCCCCAGCGTTTTTCTCCCGCACACAGACCGTGCCGCCCTCCTGGCTCCTCTTCCAATTCTCCAAGCCCTCGGGCCTCTGCCCCTTCCAGCTCCTCCGACCCTCCTCCCTCGCTCCCCCTGGAGGTGAAATGACCAACGATTGCACTGCTCTTGGATAAAGTCAGGAAACAAAAATAATCTTCTTTATTTAACTTAACCCTCCCCTTCTTCCCTGTCCCTGCACTGGTCCCTGGAAAGGCACAACGGGAGATTGAAGAAATGTCTCTAAACTCAGTCCGCGGGTTACAATCAATTTGCTTTGCTTTGGCATTTAGGGGACAAATTGGATGCAGTTTTGGTGATTTGGGGCGGGGTCAGTGGGTGCATACACAATGTAGGATTTTTTTTTTTCCTTCTTTAATGGGATTCCTTATATGACAGAAAGTGACAAGAAGAGGACACCGTCTGGGAGGGGCGCGCTGTCAGCCTGGCAGGCTCCTGGGCTCAGCGTCCTTGGCGCGTGCTGCAGGCTCCTCTCAGTGGGCCGTGCTGGGGCGGCTCCTCCGCGGGGGCCGAGAGCTCCGCTTCTGTAGCCGGCGCTTGTAGGTGGCGGCTGGGGTGGAAGGAGATGGGAAAATATCGGTGGACCCAGAAAGACAGTGGGGCTGAGCCCACGCTTGCCCCAGCTCCCCCTGGCTCCCTGCGGACACCGGGAGCTCACTGAGGCAGCCTGGGGCTTTAGGGGCTTCCCTGGTCTCCATGTTCCTTTGGGTCTCCTGGGGCTAAGGGTATGCACGCAGGTGCTGAACAGGACAGCAGGCCCTCCACCCTCTTGGTGAAAGAGAAGGAGCCCTCTCCTGGGAGGGTTCCTGGCCACCCTGGGGGACAGGGGCAGCCCCCGACCTCACTGCACTTCCTCGACCCTGTGGATGGCACAGGGTCCCCGGGGCAGGGCGGGCCACCACAGAGCTCTGGGGACAGGGAGGAGGCTGCACTGGCTGGAGCTGACCCCGGGCCCCACGAGGGGGGGAGGGTGATGCTCACGGTCCGTGCAGGTGATCCGAGGCTCCTCCCAGTGCCCGTCGGGCTGGCAGCGGATGGTGGGCACGTGGCGCTGGACGAAGCCCTCGGCGCACTGGTACCGCACCAGCGAGTTGATCTCGTAGCGGTCCTTCCTCTGCCCAAAGGTCCTGGCGTGCTCCACCACCGGGGGGTCTCCACAGGCCACTGAGGGGCAGACACCCGTTAGAAAGAGCTCCCATGGGGTCGTCTATGCCGACCCTCGCTGGCTGCGACCCCAGGCACCTCGGGAGGGACGCCGAGCCCCTGCCGGTGAGCACCAGGCCCTAAGAATTTGGGAACTGCTGGTTCTAACATCTGACTTCCTCAACGACTTAGAGCAGCAGGGAGGGAACACAAGGGGAGGGGTCCCTAAGGGGACAAAGAGAGGACAAAAGGGAGGGAGAAAGGTAGGGGAAGAGGGCGAGAGTCCAGTTTGCCGGAAGCATCCAGTTCAAGGGGAAGCAGGACCCGACCCGCAGGAGGCCTGGGGGCCATGAGCAGGGGTGGGTGGGGCGTGTCCCACCAGTACCTCCATGTCTCCTCCATGACTTAAAGCTGAGGGATCAGGGCCTGACAACTCTGCTTCTGTGGCTGATGGACTTGGGGACCCCAGAGACAGGAAGGCTCTCAACCGAGGTGCCCTTGAGGGTGACTTTCTCCCGCCGATGTCCAAGGGGCGGTGTGTATGTGTGGAGTGGGGGGTTCTGTCCTCTAGCCTGTGACCTTCACATGCTCACTGTCCCTGCAAGCAGTCCCGATCAGCGAGCTGGCCCTTGCCCTTGCCTTTGGCCCCGGGACACTGGTGCTGGGAGGGGCCCCTGGCCAGCTCCAGTCTGCCTGCTGGACAAGTGAGGAGGCACCACAGCCAGGACACAAGGGACTCGCCCCGTCACACAGCAAGACCTCACCTACAGCTGAAGTCTGGACCTTACCCACTCTGGGCCCCCTCCCGGGCCCCAGCTCACCTGTGCCCTTTTTACAAGTGAAGGGCAGGTGGTAATTGCAGGGAACATCGTTCCACTCGCCCTTCTCGTGCCAGATCATCACCACGCAGTCCTCTCCGGTGGCAAAGAAGTTGTCGGGCTGGTTGGGGCGCCAGTTCTCAAATTGCTGCAGGGAGTGGGAAGGGGTGAGGTGGGAGAGGGCAGGGGTGAGGTGGGGGTAGGGGTAGCCCAGCTTGGCCTGGCCCCACCTTCTTCCCCATGGAGCCTCTCCCCATCTCCTTCCTCTTTTGCCCCAACTTCTGGCCCATCCAGGAGCAGCACAAAGGCCCCAGGGAATGTGGTCAGGGTTGCCCCCGGCACAGCGGAACCCACGGCTCCTCCAGGGAATGGGCCACGCAGCCCAGCTCGGGTCCGGGGAGTCACGGTCCCTGCTCTTTTCCGGAAGGGCCAACAAGGGCCGACCACACAGCCTGCCTTGCCTGGGCAGGGCTGGGTGGCAGAAACTGGGCTCTCCAGTCCGGACTCCGCCCGCCAGAGCGGTGCCCCAGGCTTCTCCCTGCAGCCTGGCTTCAGTACTCCCCCTCCAAGTCCGCCTCTTCCAGGCAGCCTTCCCTGAAGCCCTCAGCCCACTGACCTCAGCACTGACTGCCCCTCCTGTCCACTTGGCACCTGTGTGGCCTTCTGTCTGTCCCCTGGAGTAGACTCGGGTCCTCTGTGGACAAGCTTCCGTGTCTCCCTCACGGAGGTTTGCTGTTACTCCCTCACTTCCCTCCCGGCGCCCTCATCCCTCAACCTGTCCCGCCCCAGGCTGGCTCTGGAGGCAGAGGTAGAGACACAGTCCTGCGCTGGAGGGCTGCAGGGGCTGGACCATCTCTCCCTTTGCCGCACCCCGTCTCTTTTGGGCCGCCAGCTGCGCCTCTGCAGAACTCACCAAGGAGTGTCCGTCTGACCAGCGGAAGTCGCCTTCGATGGTCCTGTCATTCAGGCCGATCCACTGGTAGTCTTGGGCATTGTCTGGAGAGAGGATGCGGGTGTGGGGTCTGAGAAACGTGGGCTCACAGAGGCAGAGGGGACAGAGGGGACCGCGGTGGAAGGGCTCCTAGGAGCATGCCGCCTGCCTGTCAGGGCCTTGCAAGGGTCTCAGCACACGTGTGTCTGGAGTGCACTTTGGACCTGCACTCCAAGCTGGCAGAGACAGGTGACAGCCCCAGGGCTAGTCTGGGGCCGACTCTGACTGGCAGTGGGCTGTCCTGGTGCAGCCAGAGCTCCTGGCCCCGGAGACCTCTGCCTTCTGCTCTCAGGGAACTCAGACCCGGGAACTAACCCTAACCGTTCCCGTTCCCCTCCCGGTCCCCTCCCCTGCAGCACCCAGGTCTGCTGGCTCCCGAAAGGTGAGGTCCTTCGCCCACGCGGCCACTTCTATCCCAGGTCCCAGGGGCCCCGCCACACTCACTGTTGACAAACTCCTGCTCCTCTGGGGTGACGATGCTGCTCAGGTGTGACTGATGCTCCCGACACCGGCCCTCGGCGTCCACCCAGGTCTCGCGGTCGGGGAAGTGGCGGTAGCAGTTGCCCTGGAACTTGGTCCAGCCCTCCTCGCAAACCTCCTGGTCTGCAACACAGGGCGGGGCTTGAAGGGGGTGTCCCTCGGCCACTGGGGACAGCGGTGCCACCAGTCTGTGGCAGGGATTCCTGCGCTCGCCCCGCCTCACTCCCTGTGCCCTCGGGGGAAGGGGGGCCAGCTGAGAGAGGCTCCGCTGGAACCCAGGACGGCTGGCCCCGGAACCTCTGAGCACGTTCCCACTCTGGCGATGCCAGCAGCCCTGTCTTTCCCTGCTGCCACACTGTCCCCTCTCCCAGGCTTTCCTCTGCTGACGCCTGCTCAGGAGGGCTGGATTGGTCAGCAGGCCAGGGACAAAGAGGTGGGAAGGTGGGAGGTTTTGAGATTTAAGGCAACACATGGCGCCGGGCCCTGAGGGGGTCCAGGGACAGAGGAGCCATGCTGGGGCACGGGATGGAACTGGCCACTTCCTTCCCACACAACCTCTGTAGGGACAGAGGAGCAGAGAGAAGTCTGCTTTGGGTCCACAGAGGACTCAGGCCCTAAGGCCATCATCGGCCAGGGCTGACTCCAGTGGGGCACGCCTGGAGGGCGAGACGGCCAACGGGGGTCCACGACCTGGGGGCCCCGGCTTTTTATTTTCTTTTATTTTGGTGGCAGACAGGAAGAGGGTGGGAGCTTCTCTCTGCACAAGGCTAAATCTGAATTGGGTTCTCAGTTCTGCAGAACAGGCTGTTTGGAACTCTTGGAGGAGCCCAGAGGGGCAGAGGCAGGGCGTGCTGGAGCCGGCCCCTCAGGCTTGAGGGAGCTGACAGTCTCTTCCCAGCTCTGCCTGCAGTGACTTCACATTGTCAGTAGCTTTACACTGGCCCTGCTGGGAGTGTTCACACCTCAGGCATGAGCAGATGGACAGCACTGGGCAGAGCAAATTCCAAGGCCCTCCCTTCCTCTTCCCTGGGGCCTTCCGGGTGGAGGGCCATGAACCCCCCAGGCTGCACAGCAGCCTCCCTGATGGGGTGCCACAGTCTGGCTGTCCCAGGAAGGAAGGACCAGCACCCGAGGGTAAGCAGTCTTAGGCAGAAGGGGCGGGTGCTTGGCGAGGTGGAGGAGAGACAGCTGCAGACGGTGGTGGAGAGAGAGGAGCCCAGAGGCCAGCAGCGGGAGAGGAAAGAGGCAGAGCAGCAGGAGGGTCCCCTGCTACCCACGCCTTCCCCAAGGGGCGAGCAACGCGTTGGAAAAGGGCAGAGAGGCCTCAGAGGTAGCTCAGCACCATAAAAAGGCATCCCAAGGATGGCTTGTGGGGCCAGTTTTGGGGCTCCCTTAGTGCCTGGGTGCTGAGCTGGGCAGGCAGAGCCGGAGGGTGCAGCTGCTGGGGCGTGGGCGGGGGGCATGTAGGATGGAGGCTCTGGGGAGACAGAAACAGATTTGCAGGATGGCTGGAGGCTGCAGGGCAGAGCCACGGCAGGCGGCGCGGTGGGAGGTGAGGGCTCAGGACCAGGATGGGAGAGTAGATGCAGCCTGCTTGGCTGGGCATCCTGGCCCTGGGCCCAGCTGGGCAGTTCCAGCACCATCTCTGCTCCATCAGGGTGCACAGCCCAGTGAGGGCCCTGCTTCCATTCCAGCAGAGCCCCCTGCCCAGTCTGGGACCCAGGAGCTGTTGTCTGCATGGATGTCCCAGACCCCTCTCCCCTCTGGCAAATGTTCTGACATCCTGAGGAGAAAATCCTTGTAGCTCTCCACTCCCACCCCAGCCAAGACCCATGCACCAATTTCTTGGTGTCTTGGGGTCAGGATGGAGAGTGGAAGACTGCAGGGGAGGGTGTCCAAGTCTTTTCTTCCAGAAGCCTTAATTTCTTCTACCGGTCTGTAGCCTTGGCAATGCCTTCAAGGAGCATGCAATCCAAAACTACCTCCCCACGCTGCTTAGGACCAAAGGGAGACTTCCTAAGAGTTTCACTTGCTTTCTGGAAATTTCTGGGTGTCCAGCTTGAGAGTTCATTGAAAAGGGTTTTAAGCTTAGCGCCTGCACCCTTCCAGTTCTGCGTGGACCATGGCTACCAGCATCCCAAAGTCTCATCTCCCCTTTTCTGAGTTGGGGAGCCCCTGAGATCCAGGAGGCTGGGGGGAAATGAGGAAGAATGAAAGGTGAGAGGGCTGAGGGCTCAGTTTGGCCCTGGGAGGTGTCCTGGCACCCAGCTCCCCTTGGCAGAGCTGGCTGCTCTGCTTACAGGAAGAAGCGGAGGGGTTGGCTAGGCCCGAGAGAGGAAACTCAGCCTTGGCCCTTGCAACAAGGCTCCGTTCTCTCTGGCCAGCCCTTTGCTTTGCACGAGAGAGGAAGAAAGGAAGCATGGGCTGATGTGGCATTGATATGGCAAGTGTCACAGTGGTGATGAGGAGAAGGTGACATGCAGCAGTCCCTGCTCATGCATGACTTGAGCATGCTGGTGACACGGGAGCTCTCAGGCCAACCATAGCTCTCACCCCAGGAGAAGAGGAAGGCAGCTTGGCCAGTGTGGCACAGTGGCTCCCAGGGCCATGAAGGGGCCACAAAGGTCCCATGGTCATGTAGACACATGCCCACGGCCACATTGAGAAGATCCGTGACTGTCATGTGGAGTGAGAAACCCATTACTCCCACTCCATGGCTTCCTTCAAGACAAACGCCTGGAATCAGCTCCGTCCTCTTAGCCTGACACATGCACCAGCCTCCGTGGTGGCATCAGCAGGTCTGGAGCGCTGCAGAAGGTTAGTGTTTTAAAGGTTCCCAGAGCCCCCTTCCAAAGTGCGGGCTGCCGCAGCCCGCACGACTCCTACAGTCAGACCAGCCAGTGCCCCACAGGAGGGCCTTCAAGAGGAAGAGCAAGAGAAAGAATGGGAATCAGGGGGCAGACTTTTCTGCTGTGGTCCCTGGTATGGCTGTCCAGATGGACCTTGGGGGCCCCAACTGGGGCCTGGAGCCTGTGGTTAGAAGGGAAGCGTGAGGGAGGAGGAGGGGGAGCAGCAGTTAGTGACATTAGCTGAAGCCGAGACGGCCGTACCGATCTCACACAGGTCCCCTCCGTAGCTGGGAAGGCATAAGCATGTGAAAGAGTCGATGGCATCCACGCAGGTGGCTCCATTCAGACAAGGGCTTGAGAGGCACTCATCAATGTCTGCAAGAAACCAAGGGCCACCATTAGGACTCCTGCCGGCAACTCCGGCCTCGCAAGCACTGGGGCCTCCTGACGGGTGGCCAGCCCTGCTGCTCTTCAGAGCCCTGGGAGGGAACTGGCTGGTTTTCCTAAGAACTGTTGCTGCTGCTGCTGCTGCTGCTGCCGCATCTTGGAGTGCTCAAGCAGTGATCCAGACAGGGGTTTTCCTGGGTATGTGTGACTCCTGATTGGCAAGCTTGGAGTGCTGGAGCCAGGTTTCCCAGTGGGTTGAAGAGATCTGGTACTTCTAAAGCCAAATGCCTTTTATGAGAGTGAGCATGGAGTTCCTCCAAGGTACCTCGTCTTGTGACTATTTCAAGAAGCCATTGGCTGAGAACATGGCAGTGAGCAAGGGCACTGGAAGTCAAGCTCCAGAAGCTTAGTGAGAGGCCTTTCTTTTCCTGGCTTCCTCTGTAGTTAAGAACCGGGGAAAGAGGGCGAGGCCATGCAGTCCCAGAATGAACAACCTAGAAATGGTCTGCAGAGTGTAGACCCATGAGGAAACGGCAGCATGGGGTATTACATGAGACTCGGTAGATGTCTTGGGTTGCAGACAGCTTCACTGTCTTCAGTAAATAAGATTCTAGAATATCTTGTCAAAATGAAGCCAGAATCTTTCTCTTGGAAGAGGGACAGATACCCTGCTCAACATTTCCTGATATAATCTCCTTCTGGCTTAAGGTCTCAGAGGGGAATATCTCCAGTGAGTCAGGATTTCCAGAGGGGCCCCATCCCGGCCAGTGGTAGACAAGCGTTTGAAGCCAGGGAGGTGCTGAGTAAGCAGCTGCCCACCAGCACCAACCTGGGACACAGGCTGGTCCCCATCAGCTTCCCCTGCTTGGATGGGCTCTCCTTCCCTCCTGTTCTTCTGGTCCCAAGATGTTCTTTCTGATCAAAATCCTCTGTGGGGCTTGCATTGGTAAGTCTCTGGTCTTTGCTTCAGATTTTTATCAGTTAGTCACGGTAAGAACTGGATCTCCTAATCTGGTCTTTCTGCATCTTTCTGAGAGATCAGGAAACCTGGGGGATCTCTTCTGCTCTCTTGGTGCTTAATACTCCAGAGGTTCCAGCTGTTTTTTTTTTTTTTTTTCTGGGTTTCCTCTCCCGGGTACACTGTAAAAGGAATTATGAAACTCCTCTTGCCTGGAAATCAATACAATTCTTCCGTGAGTGGGTCCCACTGGCTTCTGGTGCACCATGACGTGTGGTTTGAAGATGCCAAGCCTCCGTATGTGCACTGTGTTCACACAGCCTTCAGGATCTGACGGCATGTCGCTAGGTAGTCTCCACATAGGCAGCGAAGCCCTGTGCTGGGAACAGGACCTCAGAGTCCTAACATGTGCCAGGACTTAGTTCTCACCTCACAAAGACCAAACCAGACCTAAAAGTCAATCCTCCGCTAGGATGGCAAAAGCACTTTCCTCTGGATCCGTGCGCTAGTGCACAGCAGACACCTTCTAGGCCAGGGCTGGGTTTGTGCCATGGTGGCCTGCAAATCCCCAGTTCTCAGGCATCTTGCTCATCCTGCGAAGCTCCTAATCTCCAGTTGTCAGGCATCTCTCTCTTCCCACGGAGTCCTTAACTTCCTCTCAGGGAGTGCACACCGCAGACTAGACACCAACAGTTCCCAGCTTGGAACTGTTCCAAGCAACACCAAATGCATGGAGGAACGGGCAAACTCCCAGCATGCACCTGGGCTCCCAGCATGCCCCAGGATTCCCAGCAGCAGCAGTAGCAGCAATAGGTCAGGCCGGTCGGCGGGGCGGAAGCTGGGGGCGGCTCTCCTGCTTCGGGAAAGCTACTGTCCTCTTGTCCATTAGCGTCATTACGGGAGACGGGCAGCACCGGGCAAGGGGAATTAAGCAAACGTAGGCGCTAAAGCAGTTGTACAGAGCAGGGGACGGGAGTGGCCTCTGGGGAGAAGAGCCAGACATCAACCCTGGGGCCTTGGGCCGGCCCATGGGAGCAAGGGCAGGACAAGCCCTTGACAAGCAAGAGCAGGGAGGCCTGGATGGAGGCCCGGCCAGGGGGCTTCCTGTTGTCCCGGAGGCTGACTGCCCATCACCTGTCCCCAGGCGGCCCGAGGTCCAGGGGCAGTGTTGTTTTCCTTCTGTGTATGGCCAGGGCACAAAATCTGAGAATGCCACGGGGACTGAAGGGACCGATTCCCGCACTCAGAGATGGTTTCTGGCAGGGCCCTGGATTCACAGATGAGGAGGGAAGGAAGGGCCATGGTCCTGAGAGCCAGAGAGCCTGCGGTTGCCACCGGGACAGCTTAGAGAGGCCGAGTCAGCATCTTCCGCAGTGGGGGAGGGCTGGGTGACCTGTGGGGCGTCCTCATCAGCCACTCAGGCCGGTGGGGCCTCATCCCCTCCCCCTCCGGCTGGGAGCGCCAGTCTGGCCCGCACTGCCACCTCTCTGTGTGAAGGGCACGGAGGAAGGACATCGTTTGCCTTCTGGAGCCAACAGAGGACTGGGCTGGGCCCTGCTGTGAGCACAGAGGGAGGGGTCCCGGACAAGGTGCTCACAGGTGGAGGGAGGGAAGGGCTCTGGGCAATGCGCAGACTTCACGAAGGAAGAGAGGACAGGCAGGGAACCAAGAACTGTCTAGAACCTTCTCTGAGCCAAATGCTGACTCACACACACAGTATCCTTCCTGTATGTTGTTGCCCCGTCTGGTGGCCACAGGCACTATTGCGCTACTTACAGGTAAGAGAGCAAGAGATCTGCCCAATCTGTATGTGGGGGAGACAGGTTGGAAGAGATGGAGGAGGAGTCAGGGAATGAGACTGGAAGTTGGGCCACTGTCCCACGTGCAGGGAGAGAGACACTGGGGCCCTGACTCTCAGCACCTGCCACCATTTCCATGCAGCCCCCGGGGGCTCACCCCACCACTCCTCTGGGGAGTGCCAGGACTCTCGGGTCCTCTTCCGATTGCTGTGACCAGAAGAGTTGCTTTGCTCCTGAACAAGGGCCTCCAGCAACATCTCTAACTTAGGAGAGAAAACTAACTGAGGGCACCCGGTGACGGCTAGGGCAGCAGTAGAGATACTTGCAAATAATCACTTCAGTTGGAGACGCCAGGCCTCCACCTGGAATAGGTCCTCGCCAGCTGTTGCCTGCGTCAGAGCCCAGGACCTCCAAGTGAGCGAGAGTTTATTCGACTCATAGGAAAGGCTGAATAAAGCATGACAGGAGGTGCTTTGACTCAAATGATATTCAACTAAAGGGATCAACACTCAAAAAGACTACAGTATGAATGGCACTACTCAAGTTGTTCAGTGCACAACTAGCGCAGCCGTATGTGGTGACTCTGGACATAACTTTCCTGAGCAAGCGTGGGGGAAAATCCCCTCAAGAAACATAGAAAACATTTCTTAACTCGACGGATGCTCTTCGCCCTGCCAAGACCTACGATCACTCAGGGTGGACAGACCTAAGTAGACACACTGACGTTCTGGTCGAGTTTGTGATGCAATTGAAAGAAAAACATTAAGAGCATATTTAGCAGTCCTAATTTGCTTTTAAGATAAAAACATCATTAAATTAAAAAGTATGCTACAATTATTGATACTGTTTTCAAGTCTTTTATATTTTAAAGGTTGATCGTGCATATAACTTTAATATCTAGCTTCTTAAATCCAATTAATTGCCTGTTAAAATCTGCCCATGAACTTTTTGGTTAGGTCAAGAAGGTATAATTTGTATTTTTTGTGTTTTCACTGGTAACCTTATATTTTCTCTTGGTTTGAAAGCATTTCTTTCCTAGGGTTAAAGGTTTCACTGAAATTAAAATATCTCCCTAGAGGAAGAGACAGTGTCAGATCACAGATCAGAGCTCCAAACCTAGAGAGTGAAAACTGTGATTGAGCTCATACCCTTCTCCCGGAGGAGTTAAGAGACAGCCACGCAGCACCAGCGATGACTGGAAATTGGAAGTGAGATCTGGTTAGAACAGTATCTTTCAACCTTGGCTGCACAGCAGAATCACTGGGGTAGTTTAAAAAATATTTTTTATTGGAAGATTTTTTTAACCCTTTGCACTCGGATGTCGAGTGTGACTCAACACGGTGAGCATCGGTAGCAGCTCGTATGTTGAGCCGCACTCGACACGTAGTTTCACCGCGGGGGGAAGGGGGGTTTTTGTCTATTTTTCCAGTATCTTTTCTTGTTTTCATTAGCATGAAAGGACAAGTAAAATGTAAATGCAGAGATGGTCCACTAACTTCCAGGAGTAGATTATTATCCACTGACTTAGAGCAACGTTTAGATGGAAAGCTCCATACAATCACACCTCACCCTAACAAAAAGCACAAAGATCGTGTTGTTTGTTCTAACAGAAAAATCAAAGGAGGAAGAAGAGAGACGATTTATATTTGCGAAACAAGTGAATGTAAACCAGGTCTTCATGTGGGTGAATGTTTCAAAAAATATCACACCATGAAAAATTATAGAGATTAAAATTACTCCTTGAATGTATCAATAATCTGAAATATAAAAAAATCCAAATAAATAAGTTTGTATGAAAAGAAACTCCAGTTTTTTATCCTACTGCCGCACTTTGTAAAATCTGGGGCATTTAAAAAATTGAATCCCGAGTAGAATAAAGGAATCGAGAAGAAAGCAAGCAAGTGCAAAGAGTTAAAAAGCACCGGTGCAGGGACTGGATCAGAGTGTCTCAGGGCCCAGGCATATGCTTTCAAATAACACCCCATGTGATTCTATGTGGCAGCCAGGACAGAAACCTCAGAGTTGGAGCCAGGCACGCATATAATTCCAGGGCTCTGGGAGGCTGAGGCGGAGGATCGCTTGAGGCAGGGCTCAAGACCAACCCGAGCTACATAACGATACATCCCTGGGAAAATAGCCGGGTGTGGTGGCAAGCACTTGTAGTTCAGCTACTCCTGAGGCTGAGCGGGAGATGACCTGAGCCGGAGTGGAGGCTGCTGTGAGAATAACCCTAAAGTGAGGCAGAAGCCCAGTCCCACAGGTGCTATCAATGAGGGGGTGGGGAAGAAGCTGCTGCTATTAAGTGGTAGAATGGAATAGTCCTGCTTCTAACGGCAAAGAATCTGAGTACTCATTAAGATGATTTGTTTGAAGTCAAAACTGCTGATTATAACTTATCAGAACTTGTTATGGAATACTGTAAACAAGATGACAGTTGTAAAAAAAATTTTTTAGGACTAAAGACAACCTCTAACCCCTTTTGTTAGGTGGAAGTTTTCTCCGAGTATTCAAATTTGCCACAGGAATAACGCTGCATTTTGTTACCTGCGCCCCTGGGGTACTGACGCCGTGTGTGCCTTTTTAACAACGTGTGGCTCAGTGCAGGACCAAGTGGGTCACCTGAGAGAGGGACACCACCTGCGTCCTTCTGAAGCACTCGAACCTCGAGCTGATAACAGGTGACTTGGGCCAGGGTACATCCGGGAATAAACCCCAGGTTTGTGCTGGCTGGTCCTCGCACTTGCTCCTGGAGATGCTGAAAGCTTTTCCTGACCAGCCGGAGTGAGGGTGGAGAAGGGGAACCGAGTTTACCAAATCCCTCTTCCGGCGCAGGCTGCACACGGAGCATCTCAATCCTCGCCGCAGGGTTCCCGCCCGGGCACGCTCTGGGGTCCCCGGAGTTGTAAACCCCAATGCCAAGCACGGACTATTTCAATCCGAATTCATGGGGCAAGGTCTCAGGCATCATAATTTTATTTAATATTTTTAAAGCGGAGACCGCCCCACCGGATCCCTGTTACGAACAGGAAAGCAAGGGCTCGGCTCTAATGGTTGAATCGACCAACCTCGGACCCACAGCCCTCCCCAACGCTGCCCACCGGAAGTCCAGCTTCAGCTTCCTGAGCCAGCAGCGGTGTGTTTGAGAGGGTGTCTTATGTAGACGGCAATTGAGCAAGTGCACCAGGATCTGGTTCTTTTTTTTTTTCGAGACAGCGCCTCGCTTTGTTCCCAGGCTAGAGTGAGTGCCTGCGCATCTAGGCTCACAGCAACCTCAAACTCCTGGCTCAAGCAATCCCTGCCCTCAGCCTCCCCGAGTAGCTGGACTACAGGCATGTGCCACCATGCCCAGCTAATTTTTTCTATATATGTTAGTTGGCCAATTAATTTCTTTCTATTTATAGTAGAGACGGGGGTCTCGCTCTTGCTCAGGCTGGTTTCGAACTCCTGAACTGGAGCAATCTGCCCACCTCGGCCTCCCAGAGTGCTAGGATTACAGGTGTGAGCCACCGCGCCCAGCCGGGACCTGGTTCTTGATCCCACGCAGTGGAGTCAGGCGCATGGCGGAAGCTCTCTGCGTCCCAGTTTCTGCCGGAACTGGTCACTACCAAGCTGCTCGCACAGCTACCGGGAACAAATTGCGGGACCGAAGCCCGTTGGAAATACATGAGATCAGAGAAAGGCTGTCCTTGCAGCAGAGTAGTTAAGGTCCACCGCCAGCTATCTCTACCGATTTCGGGTTTGCAGAGACACGAGCCTTGCCGTGCTTTCTGACACCAGTGCCACGTGTTTGCTTCAAGTATGAAGTTGGGAAGGAGCTGCTAAGAGTCACCTATCAGGGGTGGGTGACAGAGGGGGCCAGTTGCAGTCCCTGGGGTCACTATGGCCCAGAGGAAATGCTGTCCCCTCGGCAGCAAGGCCAGGACCTTCCTAAGAGAGCACGCTCTTTCCGGCCTTGCAGCCCATGCGTGGGAGGAGTGAATGGGCGTCTCCCCTGCTCCTGTTTATATATACATATATATTCACTGTATAAGTGCCGTGTATACAGTGGGTTTATATTATATGAGTATATAATATATGACGTGTTAATTCGCATATATATTAATATATATAAACACAGAGTCCTCCTTTGTGTGTGACGCAGAGGCTGCTGGAGGGTACCTGCCTGGCCTGGTTTACCTGGTAGCGACTGTTTCTTCCCAGGATTCAATTCTCCACTTTTGGGTGTGTGCTGGGAACGAGAGACCCTGGGCCTCTGCTTCTTGGCTTCGGGGAGGGGCTGGGGACAAGGGCACTAGGGCAGCGGGGGCAGCTAGCCCAGCGATAGGAGCTTGGAGGTAACTGGGCATTTCTTCCCTCAAGGGTGGTGATGTTGCAGAGGTAAGATGTCATCGTGGCCACGGGCCTCAGAGGCGGCCACAGAATGACAGATTCTACTCATCTCATTTTGGGGGCCGCCTCACATGAGAGGGTCCCCAGGCTCTTTGCCCATGTCACGAATGCTCGACCCATGGCTGAGGACAGACGGAGGCTCCGGAGTGGTGGGTGCGGGGAGACATGCCCCTGCCCCCTGTGCTGGGGCGATTAGCTCTGTCTGCTTCCTCGAGGGCAAGAAGGGGACCTAAACTGCACCCAGACCCAAGCACGGGCGTGACTGCAAGGGCTGGTGGGGTTCACTGCACGATGCAAGAGGGCTCCCCTCAGAGGCTCCGGGCCAGGGGCAGAGGGTGGGACCACTGTATTCGATACTTATCCCACGATCAACGGTTTCTTTGAAATCTCAAGTTTTATCTCCAAAATTCAAGCACGTTTTTCATTCTACTCATAAAATAATCATTGGCTTGGCATAAAGCTACTTACCAGCTTAATTCCTTAACTTGCCTTTTTTTCCTCTTAAACCTAGACACTCTAGAAAGGGGAGTCACGTTTATCCTGTGGCTTCTGCCCCCTGCACGTCATTGTGCCTCTCTCCTTCCCAGCCTGACAAGCCTGAGCCTCAGTTGACCCTGGTGGCCTCCTCCCGCCTGGGTCCCCTTCTGGGGATGGAGGAGTCTGTCCGGCGCCCCCGACCTCATCACCCGCCACGGTCAATGAGGGTCTTACCTGTGTCGCAGTGCTGGCCAGTGTAGCCAGGGGGGCACAGGCATGTGACGTGTCCCTCTTCTTCCTGGCAGGTCCCAGGACCACAGAGCTCCTCGGCACAGGACCTGGCGGGGGCTGCAACCCCCAGGGGACAGTTTGAGCTCTCAAGAACACAGCTGCCTGGGTGCAAGGGTAGCCCCTGAGACCTCCAAGTGGGGCATGAGGTCCCTGGCTTTGGATCAGCATGTTTCTGGGGACTCTGTCCCTCCCGGGCACCTGGCCCCCAGCATCCAGGTGGGGAAATCTCTGACTGTGGAAGCTCTCTCAGCACTAAGGGAGGTGCAAGGGATCCCAGAGCAGAAAACAAAAGAAAATCTGTTCACAGCCCAGTGCCCGGGAGTGTGTTGAGGAGAGACAATCACAATAGCACAGGAGTCCTTTCGTTCTAGGACGGGGGTGGGGACGCAGTGTCTAAAACCAAAGTGTAGCCAAAATGACACTTTATAGTTTCTTACGCTGTGCAGTTTTTAACCTTGCACAAAATAACTATCTGGACATAAATGTCATTAGCAGATTTACTCTCTCATCTCACACTCGCTCCGGGGCAGGGTGCACGAGCAGAATTTCTAGCACCATCTAGTCATGCTTGTCTCTCCCAGTGCCAAGCACAGAGAGTTGAATTCATATGTAAAAACTCACGAGTTCGACTCCAACGTCACGATAACAATCACTAATATTTATAAGTGTGCACCGTGTGCAAGGTGTGAAGCTAAGTGCTTGCTTTTTCTCTATACTCGGTTTAATCTTCCCTGGCACTATTCCCGTTTCACAGACAAGGTTAAGAATCTTGCCCGAGGCTGCACAGCTAATCTCTGCTGGGGCTGAGCTTGGAACCTTCCAGCTGCACTGCCTCCTGCTGTGCTATAGCAGCCGACAGTCTGAACTGCCCAAACACGGTTAAGGGGGGAAAAACGCCAATACCTGTGACGGTGGGCTCTGAGTCACCTGTCCCTTCTGGAGAAGTTGGGACGGAAGCGTCTGTTGGGAAGGTGGCTGTCTGGGCTGTTTGGGTCTCTTCTCCTGAGTACAGGGGGCTTGAGGACTCGATTTCCAGATGCGCCTCTGCAGGGCGCCGGGTCTGCTGGGTCCACTCGGACTCTGGGACGCTGGTGCCGAGGACAACATCCGGCCCCGAGGCGTGACCAGACAGGTCTCCGCTTATTTCAGTCCTGTCTCCAGAAGCCACGGGAGTGGCCGAAGGCGAGCCCGATGTCTCTGTGCCCGAGTAGTAGGTGCTGGTCGATTCTCCACTCACTTCCGGGACAGCAGACCCCTCGCCGGGGCCTTCCTGAAAAGTCAAAGTGCTGCCGGTCACCCCCAGGCCCGAGGCTCTCTCGAGATCAGCTCCGTGGAGTGCAGAGGTCGTCCCGCTCACATCCGGGGACCCGGAAGCCTCTCCGCTGGCCTCGGGGGCAGGAGACGCCCCCACCCCGGGCTCAGGATGGGCAGATGTCTCACTGCTGGATTCTGGGACTGATGCCGCGTCTGGCCCAGACCCAGGGAGCTCTGGTGCAACTCCACTCATGTCCCCAGACGCAGAGGCTTCCCCACTGGACTCAAAAACCTGGGGTGTGTATGTCACAGGGGGTCTTTGGCCAAGTTCCTGAGAAACAGTTGGTTCAGTAACACCCTCCACGAACTCAGCAGTGAATAAAGTAACTTCTGGAAGTCCAGAGGCCTCTCCACTGGCGTCCGTGGCTGCAGAGGATTCTGCACTTACCTCGGTGGTGCTGGCGAAGTCCCCACTGAAATATGGGGTACCTGATGCTTCTCCACTGGGCTCTCCAGAATGTCCCCCAGACATGTCTGGTGCTCCAGAATGGGCACCACTAAGTTCCAAAATGCCCGAAGGCCCTTCTCCTGCTTCTTGGGTTGTTGGAGCCTGGGTTACAGATTCCACCAAAGTTCTGTCTACAAGAGAGACGGTGGGGAAGCCTGACGGAAGTCCACTGCTGTCGTACGCTCCCGAGGGCAGGCTGCTCCCAGTCTCAGCTCCAGAGGACTCTCCACTGACTTCAGCTACGCCACTTGGCAGGCCACTGAATTCTGGAGCCTGTGTTGTAAATCCACTGGAATCGATTGTTCCAGAAGACTGTCCACTGACATCCACTATCCCAGATGTGCCTGACAGATCTGCCTCTCCAGATGGGAGGCCACTGACTTCCACAGACCCTAAGCCTTCTTCTTCTTTAAATGTAGTAGGGGTCACTTCAACCAAACTGGTGTCCACAAATGTAATGCCAGAAGATTCACCACTGCCACTCGTGGCACCAGAGACCAGGTCAGGGATTCCAGGTGTTGTCCCACTGAACTCTGGCAACCCTGATGGCTGCCCACTGAGGTCAGGGACCCCGGATGTTTCTCCACTCAGGTCGGTTATGCCAAATGGTTGTCCACTGCCATAAAGAACTCCAGAAGCTTCTCCACTGACACCTGGTTGTCCAGAGGACAGTCCGCTAAGCTCAGGCACTCCAGATGTTTCTCCACTGGTGTCAGGAAACCCTGATGGCTGTCCACTCACCTCAAAAATTCCAGATGTTCCCCCACTGGTATCAGGAAACCCTGATGGCTGTCCACTCACCTCAAAAATTCCAGATGTTCCCCCACTGGTATCAGGAAACCCTGATGGCTGTCACTCACCTCAAAATTCCAGATGTTCCCACTGATATCAGGAAACCCTGATGGCTGCCACTGACACCGAAGATCCAGATGTCTCCCCACTGATGTCAGGAGCCCCAGATGTTTGGCCACTGAGTTCAGCTCCTGAAGGGAGTCCACTAGCTCCCACACTACTGTCCAACTCACCGAAGGGCAGGCCAGATATTTCCCTGCACCACTGATGCCGACGGTTCCCTCCCTTCCAGTTCAGTAGCAGTACTGGCTGTCACCACTTCCACCAATGTGGTATCCACTAGGGAGACAGTTGGGAATCCAGATGGAAGTCCACTAAAGTCAGGCAGGCCAGAAGATGGACCACTTCCAACATCTACTCCAGAATACTCAACCACTAAACCCAGAGGGAAGGCCACTTGTTCTGGAGTTTGTCCACTTTCTGGAGTTCCAGAAGGCACTTCGCCTAAGTCCAAGGCTCCAGAAGCAGAGGCCACCAAGTCTCTTTTCCAGAAGAAACCCACTGAGGTCCTCAGCTCCAGAAACCTGAGGTCTCTAACCCTCCTTTCCAGAAGGAAGTCCACTGTACGCATCCTCTTACTCCAGAGGCAGAAGTCCTCTACATCCGCCTTCCGAAGGAGCCCACTGATGGACCTTCTATTCAGAGGCCAGAAGTTTCACACTATCTTCATGAAGGAAGAGCCCACTGATGTCTTCTATTCCCAGAGGCAGAAGTCTA